AGATGACCTCAATTGCACCAAAGAACTTACAAAACTGTGCTCTTACATATAAACACCGTCTTGACGCCACAAACATAAACCGCGGCGAAGAAACAGGTCTGAAATCTGTATAGAGACAAAAAGCTGTATTCTTTCTATCAAATCAAGACTCTTATGTAGAGCCTCGGTGCTCCAGATTAAATCACTTTCGCAAGATTTAATACATTTCGACTCAATCAACAGAACTTGTACGTCGATTTTACTCCCTTTTTCTGTCCCTATTCAGTAAAGTTTCCCGGTTCATCAATTGCCTTGACGCACATAAGGAAAAGGAAAAAAAGGTCGCGCCATATCCTGGGCTGTTCTTTATCCTTGTTAATATGAAATTTCCAGAGCATCATTTAATTTTCTTAGAATCTGTTTGAAACAATTCACACGCATTTCTTAATACACAACGGCATCACACAGAATGCTTTTTGTTCTTTTTCAGGTAAATACGAATATTTAGAGAGACGTACTATTCGTTTCTTGTAATTTTGTCTCAAATCCATACTATATTAGAATAAATCTATGCCAGATTGTTAAATCAGTTATATAGGGCACTAGTTCAACATTGCTCCCTGACTGTCTTCTAATTATTAAATGGACGAGTGCAGAGGAATGAGATTGTAAGATCCCTCAAGAACACGGTAAGTATATGGAACCCTGAACAATGGACAACAGGCGTCCATCAGTCCCCATCAATAATCAATTAGGCTTTCCTGATTAAGATATAATGGACCCGGGGAAACAATTTTGTCTTAACGGTGTCCACGCGACCGATGTAGATAATGACTCTCCATCATAAAGTGATGACTGTTCTGAATCCCATTAAAGACAATTGTGAAGTTCGACACTAGTGGCAATTTGGAGACAATTATTGGACCAATATGGTTGCATTGCCCGTGTGGTACATATGAAACAACGCGGAATAATGAAGGTCTTTTCTGCCGTCCCCTATACTTGTTCTGGCAATAACGGTGGATAGTCTGGCGACGTACTATGCATCAGAAACTTCACATTAGTTTCATTTAAATAGAAAGAGTATTCTTTCTTAACATGCCGGTCAAACATTAAGTCACTTCCAAAACGATTTTCTGTGGTATTTTTTCTCATTAAACGCCGCTTTTTTCGGCGCACAAATATATGAATTACCCAGTGCTTACTAATTAACCTTTGGTTTTCAGATTACTGCTGAGTCCGATATTCTAGCATGTTTTGATGTCTTAGCGGCGCCCAGGCCTGCTAATTAGGGTGTTAGACTAAAGCCAATTGGATTGTTCATGCAATCAGCAGTTGTCCTATGTAACAGTTGCTACAAATATACAATTAGCCGACTAATGAATGATACGTGGGCGCTTTTCTTCACGTTGACAAAGAAAATATATATACATTCTTATTTGTTTTGTAACGGGGTTTAAAGAGTGTGCCTATGGGTTTGTGAGACACGGGAAAAGACTATTAATTGTATTATGACCTCCTGTTGAAAATGTATCGATTCTGTACTGTAAGGTGCCATAATATCTCTGTCACTCTAAGCACAGTGCAATGTTAGATTCATCGATGGTTGGGTTACACAGTTTCCCCCCTCCCCCCTCCATTTCTTCCCCGTATGTCTCATGGGATGTTTCCTCCTTCTAGTTCTAGTTCTAGTTTCAATACCATAATTCAATATAACCCGTGAAACAAAACAAACCAAAACAAGTTGGCGTCTCTGTGCACTAGATATCACACTTAAAAAGTTTTGGTCTTCTATTCTATATACTATTTCTGATCAAGGGTGAGTCAAGAAATCCATTGTGACCCCTCCTTAGGAAAACCATGGATCCGGTATTGACTGCCTTCTCTCATAACACGCGGGGAGTGCTTTCACTTCAGTCTCTGCCTCAGTTGACAAATAACCTCAGTTCGTGACAGTACAATCACCAAAATATCATCATCCCAGATTAAGTGGTCTTGATGAATTAAATAATTCAGTGCCCAATATAATTAGGCTCTTGTAATGCGTACTGAGTGGGTAGTGACAAGAGGGACCTCCGCCTCTGATGAAAACTCCGTAGAGAAAGGGATGGGCCCTGAATGTATAAACTTCTTAGCAGTTTCAAAATATTTTTCGGTCCAAAATAATAACATAAATTGATCAATTACATAAAGGTCTGCATATCAAGTTTTTTTTTTTTTTAACTTGATTTTCGAAATTTCTCTCACTAAAGATCAGCTTTATCCACGAAAAGTATATTAACAACTTGTTTCTCCGACATTTAAATATATTTTGGCGGTTGAAGCTGTTTTATTTATGTAACCAAATGTTTGCAAGCTCAAAGAAGCTCTGTTTTTGCTTAAAAGAAAAAAATATATGATACAAAGTTACAAAAATGGGGGATGGTCAAAACAACATAAAATTAAGTTTTGATCCCCCACACAGTGGAGTAAAAACTTAGCGGAGGAGGAAACAATGGCCACAAGATGTGAGGGAAACACACCCCCGTTAGTGTGTAATGCCACTAAATAGCCCTATTTCTCTAAATGAAAACAATGTACCTTTATAAATGCATTTCTCTTTTCCTTTTTTAGTAATTTAATTGTTCATTCAGTTATTCATAAAATTTATCTAACATAATCCAATTTATTCATTATTTCTTTCTGAAGGAAGGCAGAGGATCCATCTTCCTTGTAACCGGTCCTTCGTAGCTTTTTTATCTGAACTATATCGTCTTGAAAAGGTTGAAATGCACATCACTTGTTTGATAAGTTATCGAATCACCGTCGCTACTAGAAAGTGAATCTTGGCAAAAGGGAAAGTAAAAATGAGGCAGCGAAGAAAATGTTGTCTCAATGTTGTGGATTTACAGCGCAACGTGTGTTCTGTTTTAGGTTAGACCAAAGAAAATGTGCTACCTGATTTTTGTTTCCCATGTGCAAGTACACTGGCCTTCGGCTTTCTTAATAAAATGCACATAGTAAGCTTAACCATACATGTACTTCAAGAGGATCTGAAAATCTTGGTTATAAAGTATCTGAGGTAAAAGGTTCGATATGTTCTTCTCCCTGGGGCGATTAAGTCTGTACATTAATGAGGAATTCGTTCAATTTTCTACTTCTTTATGATAGCTGGATATACCGTGTATTATCTATTGGGCCTCAGCAATTCCTCTTAGATGGACCAGAAGAAAATGCTCATTGGGCGTTCAAATGGTGGCTTATTTAATTCTCAGCATTAAATCTGCAGTCTTGCTTGTCTAATAGATAAAAGCTTCAAACCTTCAGTAGGCAATTACAAAATGCTGGATATGGTCTATATGTCTTTATTCCTAACCGTTCGGTATATTTATGTAGTAACAGTGAATATTCTCTGAAACATCAAACTTACATAATGTGCAGAGAACCTTTTAAGCAGACGTTCAAATAGAGAATGTGTATCATTTATACATAGAATGCCATTGACGACTTACCGCGTATTGGCGGAGTGAGTTAGTCAAATAGCACTTCCGTTTAAACTGGCGTTATTTCTGTGAATCTTTTGTACACGGAGGTCAAAAGGTACCCTGTAATCTCTCGCGTATGAAGGTAGGTTTACGGTAAACTGATTGCATTGTTCAGACGTGAAGACAATAGCGTCAGCCATGCAATGTCCACACGCTGATATTTTTGCACTGTGTGTAACCACCACAAGCAAACGTTAGACTATTCCATAAGGCAAAGCACGCTATATGGGCTGATAACAGCCAGTTTGCTTGGTGATGCCTTAGTTCAATATCAACTCTAATTTTTGGAGGCTTTAATTTTTTTTATTCAACTTTAATTTTGGAGGCTTTATTTTTTATTTAATTGTAATTTTGGTGGATGATTTAGGCAATAATAACTAAGATGCGCCAACATTGAAAACGGTAGAGTGAAATATATAATATAACATATTGTCGCTCGCCTTTTCTTTTCGTTGAGAACAAAGAAATAGACAACCTCTCATTTTTGACCAGATCTCATAAATTTGGCCCCTAAAATAAGACTCAATCTCGAAGCGTTCGACACGTTACTGGGCATTGGTAGTGTTTGAATTGGGTGCAGATTTTTCTCAGTAACGTTGCGTCATCTTCGTGATTCTAATCATCTCTAGCTAATAGAATCCCTTTCATTTAACCTAATTAACTCAAAGTAAGCTATCTAAGAAATTAGAGAACAATCAATCAACGGGAATGAGACGTGGAGTGATACCTAATAAGTGAATTGACACGTTTGTTACCACGGCGACCCACCAAATAAGTCAAGTAGTGCAAATCCGCAGAGAAAAAAAGCTTATCAATTATAAAATTCACGATGATGATAACAATTATAATAAGTTAATAGTATCCCTGTTCTCTGATTGGACAACGAAATTCTTACACTTAAGACGAAGAAATAATGAAATATTTTCTTAAAAACGGAAATATCAGTTACCCATCTCGTAAGCTTATAAACTCTGATATTCAACCCAGCGGGTTAGAGATTATTTACTCCCTATTTTGATGGATCTCCGAAGCGAAAAAATAAACTTTCTGCCAAATAAGAGGAGATACCTAACAATATCAGGGATGTTAGTATAATCACTCGCACGTAGATAAGACGAGGGACTGTACAGTTTGCATTGAGGTCATTTATGACGAAATTTGACTATTGAGCCAAGGGCAAATACACAAACACATTCATGTACATATATTTTTAACCGGAGTACGTAAAGGCATAACTAATTGAACCACGCATGCACCGATAGAAACCTACACTGTATGTTTACCATAATTATCAATTCATAGTCAATTTTAGCATAAAGAATTAATTGAAAATTAGCCGGACATATTGCTCTTTTCTATCGACCAATAGTGTGAGGTTTTGTGCGTATGTAGTAGGGCGTGATTGGCCACCGTTATTGACAGCTGATTAGTCCAGGCTGTGATGACGTCACAGCACGTGGGAAGACATTACTTGTCATGTATGGCATGGTATAAATACCAAAACTGACTGACCTGTTACATTATTGTTTGGAAACTGACTACACATGGATAAAGCTCTAGTTTTGGATGTACCACGAATACAGGAAAGGGTAAAGGTTATTGTTTTGACTGCCACGGTTGCTTTCTTGGTGTTAATAGTCACACGTCCAGGAGTTAAAGATATGGTGGAGGCATACTGAATAAGTTTAAGAGGAAAGAACGAGTGTGAATTTAGTTGCTTTCATTATTTCGAAGAGGTTGCTAGTGATGAAAAAATCCTGCGTAGAGCGAATCTTTATATTTGTAGACACAGTACATTACAAAAGGCAACCGGCGACTATTTGGTAAAATGGCCAACCTGAAGAGTGGTGATAAAGGAAATTGCGCCAAGTTTGACTTTAAAATATAAAAACGTGTAATTTTTTACCTGATATATCACCTATCATAATTATTGAGGGTCGTCAGCACAGGTCTTCAACGAATAATAACAATTTAGACATTCTCTTCTTAATAATCAAGTCGCATTAGGAGGAACAGCACCATTAACGCTCTTTTTCAAAATAACAAGCAATGTGATTTACAGTTTGTACCATTTGTGCCTTCAGTATTTTGTTTTCTTGCTTACACATTATTGTCGTGATTTATAAAAGTATAATTGTTCTCCTTTCAGATAATGAAGCTACACCTAGGGGCACTAATCCTTGCAGTGCTTGTTATGACCTGTTACACTGTAGATACAGACAAGGTAAGTTTGTATTCTCTATCTTTATCAAAGACGTACATGCACATCTTATTGTTTTGTGAATAAAAAAAGCCCGACATTAATTCCCTAACTTAAAGAAGGGACAGTGTTTTATTAAATGTTATGAAAAACAAATCCATATGTCAATCAAAAATTGTTTGGTATTGATTTGACCTAGAATTTTTATATGAAAATAATGTTAACTCTTCATTCAAAACAAAAAAGGGGTATGTTTTGTGTTCGACTCAAGCTCATTGATTTTTCATTCTGTGGTATTGTAACGTCTGTCTTATAAAACATATATTTCCCGAGATAAGGGCAGTAAACTGATTATTAGCACAAAAAACAATCCCAGTGTTTTATTTAAACCTGTTTTCCACGTGACATCCTAGTACCTCATAACAATACGGGGAATGGTACATTAAAGGACATAAAAAGAGATATTAACCAGCTTTCGAACAAAATCGAAACACGGCAATCCAATCATGCCATCAGTGACATTTTTGAATGAAGTTTATCAAAAAGAAGTCTGTGATGCAGATTGTTATCGATTAGAGCTGCGTATAATAACAGTAAACTGCTGTCTACATTTCGAGTGGAAACCGTCCACGAAGTCGACGCAAATGTGATTCACTTGATGCTCATTGAATCAAGGCAGGTTTCAGTACCCAGAGGATTTCAAACTGCGGAGAGATAAAATAAGATCTGCAATGTACAAGCATTTAGTTCGAAACGTAATTAGAAAATCTGTTTTCCTTATCATTGAATGCGAAGCATGAAACACCTGATATATGCTATTATTTTGGTCTTTTAAAGTGAAAAGCCAAGTCTGTTTCTATTTGAACGCCTCAGGGGGGTTTTGACAATACGCGAATGCCTTGTATACTTTTTGTCCTGATTCAAAATTGCCCTAGACTTCTCACCTCCCTGGGGAACATATAGCCCAGATTCAGTATGAACAAGTACAAAACCTTTCACTACCAGACCAGGTAATTTGCCTTTGCTTCAATCCTTTAAATGCTGAGTGTTATGCAAGGGGAAAATACTGCTGGTACACTTTCCATGTATAAAAAAAAAAGACTGGAGTGTCTTTGGAAAACGTCAAACACAAAGAACTTTCCGCGCGGTTATCTAACCGCAATGCCATCCGATCGGCTGTCTAACCCATGAATAAATGACTGGAGGGGCTTTATTCCGTCGTCTGGGGAAGAGATTTCCTTTCTCTATCGATTAAAGTAAACATCATACTTCCGGTATTGTCAGAAACAGGCTGAAATTATGTGAAATACGTCCCTTCGTCACCGTGTGTCAGAGTATCATAAAATGGAAATGTAGACTGTTTTATCCACCATGTCCTTTTTGATTTGATAGTCATAACAGTTCCAATGTTCATTAAGCTAAGGAAATATGTTTAGACGTCGATACATTTATTTCAACATGCTTTGCGTTTATCGTACAAACAGAATGTACGATGTATATCGGTATATCCACGACATTTTGCATTTTTGGATTTCAAGTGATTAATCTTAACAAAGTATTATGTTCAAAGACAATCGTCTATCACATAAATGTTCAAGGATAAAAATAAGGTAAAAACACTGGTATGAGATGTAAGCATAAAATCAAAGATTCAGAGTTTATCTTCGGTAAAGGCAGACCCTCCGGGTTCCAAGGCTGGCACTCTACCAACCTCCCCCACTCTTTGACTTTGGAGACACCCCTTTCTCCTTACAATCCAAAATCTGTTCGGCACATAGCATGATACAATATTAAGAATTACATGTTTGTCGATCCAAGAGGCGTTTATCCCCCCCCCCCTTTGGTCCCCCAATCCCTTAGCAAAACACTTCCATCTTTTGTCGGAGAAGACCCCAATGGACGAGAACAGTAATTCCTATTCCCAAATGACTTAGATTACTATCTCTCCAAGCGTCTATATTTTCAAATACGAAGTGTGTGGCTGAAAGAAATAAGTGATTTAGGAATCAATCTAGAAATATTTTCAGAAAATATCTGTAACCTCTGTTCAGCCAGGACATACTTTATGTTGCAGAGTGTCAGAGCTGCTGCAATTACTTATTCTAATCAAAGTGAAAGAAAAAATACTGGACAGACATCAGTAATCATTATACTGACTTTATATCTTTCAGGCAGAAACAGAAGTTAAAGCACCATTAAAAAAGAGGGACATTACATTAGAAAGTGACATAGATATCCCAGATGATGAGTATAAGCGAGCAAAATTTGTGGACTTTAAACGGGAACCGTATTATGGGTTCGAGAACCCAAGGCGATATCTAGACGACAGCGGGGATACTTATGATTCGGAAAAACGTGCTAAGTTTAATGACTTCAAGAGAGCGAAATTCAACGACTTCAAAAGAGCAAAGTTCAACGATTTCAAACGGGCGAAATTCAATGATTTTAAAAGAGCAAAAGTTAACGACTTCAAACGAGCGAAGTTCAATGATTTTAAAAGAGCGAAATTCAACGATTTCAAGAGGGCAAAATTCAATGATTTCAAGAGAGAAATGGGGGGATATGGAGAACCGCCTTATATGGGATATCACGATCTAGGACTGGAAGAAAAAAGAGCCAAATTCTTTGATTTCAAGAGAGTGCCAGGAACCTTTCTGGCGGACCCATACGAAGAGGATATGAAACGAGCCAAATTCAATGATTTCAAACGAGCCAAATTTAATGACTTTAAACGAGCCAAATTCAATGATTTCAAACGGGCCAAATTCAACGACTTTAAACGAGCGAAGTTTAATGATTTTAAAAGGGCCAAATTTAATGACTTCAAAAGAGCAAAGTTCAACGACTTTAAGAGAGCAAAGTTTAACGATTTCAAACGGGAAAGTTACGACGATGACTACTTGGTACCTTACGTAGACACTTACCCCGAGTTAGCTGGGTCTAGAGGAAAGATAGTCGACTTTAAAAGATCCATAAGGGAAAGTGTACCCCAACACGAGGTACGTTAGTGTAATGTAGCGCTGGGTAAGAGCATCGTTAATTAAGGTGATGTTTTATGTTAGTATTGTTCACAAGAGTAAACAGTAAACTCACGAAATCATTCACAGCAGATTTTAATATCGGATTTCCCATTCGCACTTGAACACATCCAATAAGCCTCAAGTAGTACAAGTGCGGCAAGAGCCGTTTACTTTGGTCACTTGTAAATTAGTTTCATTCCCTAGTAATACCCCTTTTTCTTCTTCTCCATACAAAACCGTTCCAAAATATATAAAGAATATAGTTGAAACGTTAATTAGCTAGATTTTCGACTGGTATTGATATATTGATATTACGATTAGCACAGCCTACTTTTGAACGCTTCAACTGTTACATGTAGAAAGAGTGCGTTTGTTGAGTTTTATGTGAATCTCCTATTGTTTCAATGCATTCACGACATCTGCTCACCTAACACATTTTTGCCTCTTTATCTGATGTTTTATGTTACATCTATCCTATGCTGGGCAGCGGTGTGACAGGAATAGTAGTCCTGGGAATGAAAGTCCGGAATCCCGTGACATAAGTACACGTTATAGGGTTAGTCGGAGTATTGGGGATAGTATATTGGACGAATTGTGCAAAGTAATAGGGTACGGACTACGGTTGCTAGTGGACTGCCATTCCTGTCCGTTTTGTTATTGTTTAACTCACAGCATCTCGTGCCATCACGCTTGACGTCACGAGCGCTGGTTCGATCCGCGTGAGTGATAAGTCGGGAGTTATTATAATTTTTGAAGCAGTTACGTGTATTTAGAATGAACATAAAAAGACCCTGTAAAAATTACAAAGGTGTAAATAAAGCAGTGATGGATATATGGAGGACAATTATGTTTTTTAACACCTGGCCATGCCTGCACAATGCCAAAGCCTGTAATGACTCGATTAAGAGCTAATAATGTGTAATGTTACCGACTTAATATTTTCTCTATTGTAGGATTATTTGAATTAAATATTTTGTCGTTTTTCAGACTGAGGCAACCGACACGAGTATGCACTCGTAACAGGGCCATATATAATTGTTTGTAAGTATAACAACTAGAATAACACAATCACCAATAAACTGAAACCTTTCAGAAACATTGCCCTTAATTCAACCATCTTTTTTTTTTTTTTTTTTTTTGCAAAAATAACGAGAAATAAAGGATCGGGTCTTTGTGTTAAAATGTCGGTTATTTGACAACATTTGTGCTTGCAAAATAGTAACAGATCATGTAAGTATGCTACATTCACAACACCGACGCATTCCTTCGACAAATGAATAGATTGTAAATAAGTATATAGTCTACGATACCCATTCCATTCATCATACTATTTTAGGCCTCATATTGGAGTTTCTGTTACTTTTTTGGATACAGTTGACATATTATATCTCACCTTTCTGATGCCTAATTGTCTTGTCATTCCAGGTTTCCAAAGCTTTGTCCAAAGCTCTACTTTATGTTCAATGAATGAGTGGATAAAAGTAAAAGCACCACAAAGATGAGACAGGGAGATATTAGTTCATATATTAATATACCACTTTATCAGAGACAATAGAAAACGCCTGTATGATGTCATGTGGGTAGCGTGTTTTTGTATGTTAATCATCGCTCGGTTGACTTTGCCGTCTCTCTTTATGAAATCAAAGTATCATATGGAAAAGTTAGGCACATCATTAGCACAAGCAGAGGACATATAGTACTAGTAAACAAAACTGTAGACGGCGACACTGTATCGAATACCCTGGACAGTACAGATCAAGATCTTGCATTTTTCACTTGTGTCTATTATTACGTAATGTCGTGCTCAAGGGCGGAGGGCACGAGGTAACCTGATTGGGCAGCAGCAGTGAAACCGGAAGCCGAACTTTATTGCGCGGCGATGGCAAAAAGCAAACAATTTCTCAAGGACACAATTCTTATATCTTGAATAAATCCGCTAGCGTGAAACCTCAAATTTGGCAGTTAAGTTGAAACAATTTCAGAGCGTGGACTTAACATTTCAAAAAGCGTTCTATTTTTTTTTTTCTTTTTTTTTTTGACGCAAAATTAAAATTATCAGAGTGAAAGAAGGCGCTCAATTCTGTGGAAAAGACAGCGACAGAAAGGAGATTCCCGCAAGTCTAGGAAGGCTTCAACCCACAAATGTCTATTTTAAATGTTTACGATTGAAGTCAGATTGAAGTATTTGCTCTTTTTAAATTATTTATATATTTATTTATTTTATCTTAACTGTTGTAAATAGTGTATAACTATACATGCTTTGTGTTAATAACTTATAAGCTTCCTTCTGCAAGTTAGAAATTATCCAATAGAATACCACCAAGGGAAAACGTTCTTTCTGCTTCTGCGCTTTTTCAGTATAACTCGTACTAACATGTAGCCGAATTTAACCAATAGGTCAATGCTACTGTCGGGGGACATGTGACAAACAGAAGTTAGTTAATAAAGTCCCGTCAGGGTGTGTAGAACGCTAGCGACCGATATCGCCCTGTTATATTGAATTTACAAATTAAGTAACAAATTAAGTAACAGTGCTCCATATCCCAAAACCCTCGTGATAAATGATTTCTAAAATATTTATTTCCTCTATTTTTGTATTCCTATTGTTGTCTTCTAATGGTAAGAAGGCTGAAGGCAAAAACCTTAAATACTTGGAGAAATTGGCTGTATTTTCATTCTATGAATATTCTATGAATAAAGATCATGTTCTTTTGACGTTGTGTTTGCCGTGGAAAAATATAACTTGATTAATCGCTATATTTTAAATAAGGCAGTAAATGCGTAGTGGGGGAAACTATGGGGTTAAATATACCCAGCGATCTGAGGCATCGTGTATGCATAAAGTCATCTAAACTGAAAAATCTCAAGTTATACCAAATCTTCAGTAAAATATTGGATCCATCCTGGAATTACCAATACATGTTGCCAGCAATCATAATCGTTACCTAAACAGCCTTTGGGAATTTATAAGGATGCTCATCATTTCCTGTTGACGCATTTAAAAACTTGTTTTTATACTTTAAAGGTCATGAATATTTCCCAAAATAAGGCATTTCTTGCCAAAAATAAAAGAACGAAGCAAGCAGTTTAAGTGCATCCCGCTGATAGATGGATGTAGAAGCTTGTGTACCGAATTATTCTCGATAGACATTGAGGGTGTGAGTGGCATCTCAGGGTTTCAAAGAAATGCTGACTACTGTTTTAACTTTATTACCAACTTAATTTGAAACTTTGAGTTCTTGTGTACTTTTTGAAGAGATTCCCTTTTGACACTTTTGTCAGGAATCCATTTGGAATGTGAAAGGCATTTGTTTCGGTATTTTGTTTATTTTCTTTTTGAATTGTATTTGCATTCACTGTTTTTTTATGGTTTGTTTATAACATATATAAAGTATTGAACAATAGAGTTTTAAGTGATCATTGCACGAAAATTAGGACTTAATTTCAGACATGTTTAAATACAGCTGATTTCAGGTACATAAAAGGCTAAAATTAACAACTTAAAGTCAACATTGTAAAAGTGATGCAGATTCGATTTTGAATATAAAAGAATGAGGCAAAACACCAACAACGGTTCAATGCTGCATAAAATAATCCCCATGCAAATTTTGGTTTAATAATGAATTTGAGTTTTAAGATGTAAATTTCCATAGAGCAGTGCTACATGCAACACTGCACGAAATATATAATTTGCTTTACTTGCTTTACAAAAGGAAATAAAAAATAAAATATATAAGACAGACCGAGAAAGAGAGAGAAAATTTTATTTGATATAATATTTTGAACTGAACTCACCATCGTTAAAAGAGAATTTGATGTTGATTTAAGATTCATTCATCTGCTGTGTAATGCTGGCAATTACAAACCATATAGGAGGAGATTACACTTGTACGACAAGCAATTACGTAACAACGATATGTTCATTTTATAACATAAATCTTCAGACGTGAAAATGATTTATTACAACTAGCTAGGGTAGTCGTATGTTTTCACACTTTGTCTCATCTCGTCTTACTCGTTTGTTATTTTTTTTTAAATTTATTTTGTTGATCTTCATGCAGTTAAAATCCCCGCTTCACCTGGCTTGCAATCGCTTAGAAAATAAATATTGCATAACCCCCCCCCCCCCCCCCAGGACTTGACAAAATACAGATTTGACATTTAAAATGGAATATTATTGTTTAAAGGGTAAATGTTGGTAAGAATGTATTTTTTGGGAAAAAAGTGGATCACCTATATGAAAAAATGTGAACAGATGTATATGTAGCCAACATCGAATCCAGACATCATTATTAATGAACATGAAAATATTAGTGCCTTTTTTGTGTACATTTGTGAACGTCAGCTAAAATTCGTTCCACATGCGTTCGCAATCCCGGGGTAAGAGGGACTTAACCTAGTATTTATCACTCTGGTTATTCATGGGGCATTAACCTACAGGGCTCTTGTATATATACATACATTTTACACTGTGCACGTGTGCTAACTTAGTCTCCACAAGTTCAATGTGCGTTGTACTTTAAGTAGTTAAAGTTGCTTTTATAATCCATCTTTTTTTACAATTCGCTTTCTTTTTCTCTCTGGTGTGACTGCTTTGTTTACTGTACACACACACACACACACACACACACACACACAGATATATATATATATATATATATATATTAAAACACTGTATTAAGCTGCTCATAATGGACATAATGAACCGCAAGTCTGTTTCTACTCTAGTGCATGTAAGTACACACCGGGTAAACAAACAAGCTACACAAATAAGGAGTGTCCTCTTAAAACGAATTTGGCCTTAACCTTAGCAAAATGAAAAGTTTGCAGCAGATTTGATGCCACCACAAATGTGCCACCCTGAAAGAGCGATGTCTCGTTACCAGAGTGCTGGGGTTATACTAGCAGCAATTACCTTGCAACATTTTACGCCACTGTAGTGATATACCTCGCCTACTTTATTGTGCCGTTAATTTAAGTCTGCTGTTACGTTGCCAAAGTCTCCCCCACCGCAGTATCCTACTTTATAGCCTGGAGTAATTATATGGGACGTAACTATACTTCACTTTGTACTAGAGTGTTATACACAGTGTATTAGAGTGTTCAACTTACACGTATGTCAAATGTAGAACATAAAACCATATGAAGCATTTAAGTTATAGAGACTTCAGTAGCCGATGACGGTGCCCGTAAATATAATAACTAGATATTTACCTGACTGTGTACAAAAGAACGGAATATTTTACGAACTACATTCCATTATACACACTGAATGCATGCATTTTGTTTGGCTTTCAAAGACTTTAGAGTTGTTACCACCAGCCTTTACTTTGATTGGAACACCAAAACATATTACGATTTTTCCTACCGAGATCAGATAATTTCTCACATTCCCTACCTCCCAGCCTACCGCTATTATTTCAATGTACGAATGTGCAATTATGATATAGTGTTGTTGTGCGTGTGTGCGTGTGTATGTGCGTGTGTGCGTATGTGTGCGTTTGTGTTTCAACACACTAAGCAATAAAAGCATAAACATGTGGCTGCTATATCCAGATTTTTTTCCCTTTGCTTTGGAAGCCATTTTCGATATGTTGGCCAAAATTTAGAGTTTACAATAAATTCTGTAAGTGTTCTACAAACATAACTCAGTGGGTTCATTTTAGCTTGAAAGAATCATCGGACTTTGTACTGTAGTTATTCTTTTTTGAAACATTTATAATTATAATTCATTTAGGCTTCAGGTCTTACTTAACTACAAAGTTTCGCGTCAAAAAAAAATTAAAATTAAAAAAAACTTTCGTTTAATTCATGATTTCATTTTCATCGATCTCAAATTGCTACCTCAAAATAAAATCAGATATCGATTCATTGCCTTCTTAAGGAATGTACTGAGAAGAGATTCTTATAGAGCAACTGATAACATCAGGGAAGTTGAAAGGGAGAGAAAGAAGAAGTAAAGTGAGACCAAAAGTTTAAAAGACTGCGTTCAGCTAATTTGACATACATAGGTGACAGACATACTGGGAGGCACCAAAGATAGAGGTGGGAGGAAATTGATCACCAACGCTATGAAGCAGGGCAGATGATGGTGTTGATGATTATGCAGTTTCACAGCAGACGTAGACAAACACACAAAAAACTAGAACGGAAACCAGAAGAAGTAATTTTTTTTTTCAAATATTAATGTACAATTCCGTGTAGGCCTACTGAGGCAAGCGATATACAGTATATATATACAATCTTAACCAGTATACATGTATTCTAAATAGGTTTTATTTGCACTTCAAACTGCAAAATGCCACAATATTCAATGTAGGAAGTGTATTACTAGCAGCTTTAATATATTATGATGAAAAGGTTTTTACTGTCACCACAATAGGCCTACTAAATAACTGTTATATTGTGATATTGTGAGGTCATAGCCTTTTTTGTGTTAGAACCAATATCGATTCTTCTTCTTCTTCTTCTTCTTCTTCTTATTATTATTATTATTATCTACTTCTTTTTTCATGTAGTCAAAACACATTGACTCTCGATCATATTTGGTGTTGTAACGATTACATCTGCGCATCGTCTCGGGGGATATTTCCGTTTCCCAATGAATAGAGCTGTTAGTTCCCAGAAGGGTGATTAGGGCCTCCAGATAACACGATGTTTAATTCCTTAATGCCTTTATTACCCACGCTTCATCTGAGGGGGCGGAGGCCTGGTGGTGCCCCTAGACAGGCTGCAGAGAATGGATATCTATAGCCCAGGTTACACGTTGAGATTTAGGCGTTACTGATCGAAGACCGAATGACCCCTGCTATTGGATGCTGCTAGGATTAGTGGAGTTCCTGCATAGATGCATAGGCCGAAATGAGATTGTGATTTTTTACGTCAGTGGCAAGTAAAAAATTAAAGAAAACGATAACATGCTGAAATCATTTGCACAACGATGAGTGGGGAAAACGTATGAAAACTGCCCCAGTTTTTGCAACACCCTCTGCCTGTTAACCCAGGTGAGAAATACACTTAATCCTCATATCAATTACACAAAATGTGCAATAGGGAAAAAAATGATAGGCGTAAATCATGTGTAGATCCAGGACTTCATTACATGAGAGAAAATCGAGGAATGCTGTGTTTGAATTGCCAGTCCGTAACACAGGCGTAATAGCTTCCCACGCCCCTATTCTACGCTGTAACAGTCATAATAAGCAGGAGGATAAATTTTTTATTTTTTGAACAAGCTCCACCTTTTCCATTTGTAAATAAAAATTGCTTCAATCGCACCTGTACCATCATCTTCCAGTCTGCCAGTTCTGTTGAGATTTGTCAAACCGCCCTTCGATTAATTTGGGTGCGTCTTGCATATATAACGTTAAGGAGACCGGGTGTCTTCCTTTATCCGCCCTTATGAATTATTTCCAATAAAAAAATCAGAGCAGTGGGGTTCTTGATAATATATAGGTATGTTATTTTGCACCTACGCACACGTCACTGTATCTAGGAGAATCATGAAGTTCAAAGGGATTATAAGCCGCCAGCTGTCTTCCTGATGATTTACTACGTCATAGAGCCAAGGGTACTGAGCATCGCCACGATCTGCTTCAACGTGTTAAAGTGCACTCAAACTGACATAAATCCATGCTGGTTCGGGTCTGGATGACGTCAAAGGTTTAGCAAAAGTGGAAAAACCAGTGTAATAGTATTGGTAATAAGATGCAGTCCGAAGTCCGTTCCCTGTTATACTTTACACAGGTGCCATTCGTCTCATACACTAACCCCTATATTTACACTTGCCCTAACCTGTACTCATTATATGGGACTTCATATTACTACCATTCCTGTCACACCGGCACTGAGCATTGCATCCTTGCATACCCTATTCACCCCGCTTCCTCGCCCTATGACATATTTCAGTTGTATGAGGTCTACATTGAGGAGCCACTGTCCTGAATTTCAGTCAGCAAATGCTTCATAATAATGACGTAACCCTCTATTATACTGAAATAAACGCTCCTTTTATTTACAAACATTGGAATAATTCTTCTACCGCTTTTGATTTTAACCCCACATTCCGCATTCAATAGCCGACCAAATCTATAGCTGCAAAAGTATATGTCTATAATGGATTTAATGGAAAACGAAAACGCGCGATGTGGTTTATACGTAATTAAGTCATCACAACGCGCAACAGTTAAAATGACACACAGGGATATAAATTGGCAGAACGATATCAAGAACAAAAGTGGTTCACCTTGATTTATGGTGCGATTATTGCAACAAGTACCTATACATAAAAGCATTGAAATAAATGTAGTCCTAGTTATGACGTCAACAACACAGAACTAAAATGATAAATACCATTATTATACAGTTAGGCGGGCGATTTATGATATACGACGTTATAACTGTCTGTTAATCCTTTTGTTGTTTTTGTTGTTGCTATTGTTGTTATTCTTGGCGACCAAGTCCATTGTGAAGATGTATCAGCACATGGTATACTTTCCTGACAACAGCACACCTCTTACCTAAACAGACAAAGAGGATGAGGGGTGGGGGGGCAGAAAACTGGGGCAGCACAAGCGCTTCCTACACGGCCTGTTAATAAAAAAAAGCCTCAATAACGCCTGAGCGCACTCGTTCCCCTCACACAGAAACATACATCACTATTTCTGTAATTGTTCCTGAGGTCAATATGCTCATATATCACAACACGGTGGCGAACTGACGGGGCGGACCCTTCAAAGCCCACCCTTATTTCTGGAAATATAAAAAGCCCATTCTGTAAGCAGTTTCTTAATAATTGTTTTGGCTATCGTATTGAAATTCTGAGAATTCTCTTGATGCATATTATATAAATATCCATAAACCAATCGCTGCGTTTGATTGGATGTGCATTATTCCCACTTATTCCTACTGGCTTTATTCTCCAGACGAAGATAGAAACACGCTATAAGCCGGTACCATGACGAGTGTACGTATTCTTGGAGCAAGGTACTCTCTTCTTTTGTGGAGCATGTTTGCGGGTAGGTTTACACTTTTTTGATATTTATGATATCTATATAAAATTTTCTTCTGGAATTGCAATATTTTAACCCATCTAACGTGTATACGGATTGACTATCAATTTTATGAGAATACGTTTTTACTGTATGGCGCAGTGAGTTCAATTCCCTCGTGTGCTTCCTCTCTGCCCTTAGTTGTATTATTGACATATTAAATAACGATCATTTTCATTTTTATGTAATCTAATAATTGATAAATATCTTATGATATGCTCACGTTCAATTTTGACAGATTATTCTGTAATGACAAAAACCAAACTATGCTTCTGTCTTAAAGTACACGTTACCTATAAAACAGCCACCGTAATTTAGAAACAAGGAGATAAAGTATTAGTGTTTCGTACACATTTCACTGCATATAAGCTACATTTCACACCCGTATATATATGATTATTGTGTTTTATCTGCACCTAAACTAAAATATTGTGTTGTTATCTACATCCATTAATGGTCTTGTAATTACACTACACTGTAATTAATGCCATAAAAACGCTGTACAATTAAATAATCAGTATGAAGTAATGCAGTCATTGTCGTCCATTTTGAAAATAAACATTTGGGTTTTTAGAACCGTGTTAATGACCTCGCGTAATACAACGCGTAATATCCTCCAAGGGCACGGAAACCTTGATCGCTTTAGCCAAAACACAAACCAGGAAAATGTTCCAATATCATCGATTCCATAGGACGTTTTTTTAGAGTTCTAGCAGAGCGTGGTAATTGAAACGACTGTTCATCAATCAATGAATAGGGAAAGTAGAAATAAAACGCTGACTGTGTATGGAGTGTTTTCGGTTCCAACCACTGATTTTTTTTTTATCGGGCTCTGTTAAATATCTCATTTTGATTATGATTTTCTAAAATTTTCAAAATGACTTTCAATAAGAAAAAATAAACTCTTGTTAACTTTTAAACTTTGCAGGGAAAAGAGGTTGTGAACAAATCCTGAAGCGGATAAAAGGAAACAACCTTCCTTTTTCATTTTTTCCCCTTTTTTGCCTTATGAGTACCTTTTATTCCTGTTATTTGCCGGTCAGCTAGCACTGTAGTCTAACTACACAGGTCACGCTGTTTGGTAATTTTTAAAGTCAGATACAGACGTCTTTAGTCTGTTTTACCAAACAAAACGACGACATTAGCTAATAAGACACACGTAAGAAGACGGGCGAAATATTCCAGCTACCTTTCCCTGCTCTTATATCCCAGGCTACGTTTTTACGAAAACTGCGATTTCTTTCCTCGCTGCTGTAATTGAAACGCCCAAAACGGTAACTGCTTAATTGAAAATTTATATGATGTAAAAAGTTCCAGATATCATCCTATTGAACTTAATGAATGAGTGGTATTGGACACTTTCCAAAACTGTCGAGTGGGTATTGACGACGTTATTGAGAGAGACAGTAGTGTTCAACAGCTCAAGGTGAAAGTGGAGAAAACAGAGCAGAACGAAGCCTGATAAAGACGAACGTTCGCCGCTCTCTTCTCTCTAGGGAACAAACTAGTCTGAGACTTGAGATGAGAAAATATGCAATCTCAAAGAAAAAAAGACGAAGAGTCATCAACTTCTATGGTTGTAAATAACTAAATGACTGGATACAATATCAGAGAATCATTCATAAAATGAAATAACGCACCGCGTGCCTGGATCGAAAAGACATTACAGTTGCCTCTCATGAATCGATGTGCATTACCACTTTACTTGCAATTTGCCCACACGTTTCACTTAAGCCCCCTATACACCGGACTTGCAACCGCTTGAAGAACAAGTTTTGGCCTATTCTCACAAATATGCAACAAACAAAAAAGGCTGTATTATTTTAATTTCATGAACACTGATGTATGAATTTGATGCTAAATATCAAATAATGTCAAATCTCCAACTTTGAAGGGCTGTGAGTGGGTAAACATTCGTTCTCGCAAGCGGTTTCAAGTTTGTTGTAAACGGGTGCTTGACGTTCAGACAAGGTGCTGATTTTTTATGGCAATGCTATCATATTAATCACTGCGAGGTCCATTTAATAGAATAAACGAAGGCAATAACCTTACTGTCAAACTACCCCCCCCCCCCCAAAAAAAAAAAAAAAAAAAAAAAAAAAAAAAAAAAAAAGGTGGTTTATTCAATCACAGGGAGTCGTTATCATTGTCCAGTTCGTGCTAATTCTGGTTTGTTTTTTTTTTTTTTTGTTTTGTTTGGGATGATTATGGTGAAATGCATGCCATCCAAAAGCATACCAAACAAATGTTCTGCGGAATGAAAATAAACACACCCGCCAATTGCCATCATTTTGGACGTTAACGAAGCCCCTGAATTAGGTTGGCCCACCTTGAGGTCAGTGACACAAAGTTGATGTTTTGAATATAAAGGAAACTTGCACTGCCTGCGTGAGAATTTTTCAAAGGTGTAAATGACTTTTGTGCCAACAGTAATCACTTTTCACATTTAAGCACATGGTTGGGCGAGAGTTGGGTTTTACTTATTGACCTCTTCACACCCTAAATATACTTCAACCATAAGATGCAGAATGTTTCGGGAGGAAACGACGGAAACAAACACCGTTTATTGTAGTCTTTGGAATACACGGGCGGATCCGAGTAAAATAGCACCTGTGACGCTGATATTGTGTACTGGCTGAAAATCTGACTCATTTTTTCTTAAAGAAAACTACCATTAAATGGCATACCTTGGAGTAATGCCAACTCATTGTAAAGTGCCCTAGACAAGCCATTGCCAATATGCCCTCACTAAAGGGATCAAAGCGAAGCTCCAAAGACGAGCATTCTGCCACTGTTTTTCCATACAATTTCAAATCCACAATTTGACTGTAATCGTTTTTCATTTTTTGTTTTATTATTATTATTATTATTATTATTATTGTTTTAAATGGTTCAATAAACGAAACAGAAAACCCAAGTACCAGTACTCCTGTCTTAGCATACAATTACCATGGCAAATATTCTGTATTTTAGGGCTCCTCTTCAATACGTGTCGTGGGTGCCCACCAGAATTTCAAGTTAAAGTGTTTTCGTGTCTCTTCCCGCTAAACCAACTGTATGCTCAGCAAATGCCGAGTTTAATGGCACGGAGCAAAGACAACAGGGCACGGGAACTGCAGTTGTGTAGGTGAGTACCAGTGTTTTCTGATCTCCTTAAGGAAGGCCCGACGCACACTGCGCGCTGCAAGCTCAGCTACAGGTCTTCAGAGATTTGGGACGTAAGCTTGTGTGGTCTAAATATTAGCGTTTATGTTTTCCGAGGCGAACAAGGTCATGGAAACTTGAGCAGAAAACCAAGAAGCCTGTCTGGCAAGATCGATAGACAATCTACAATATGTCCAAATTGCGGATTGAAAATTTTATTTCTGAAGAGAGAGAGAGAGAGAGAGAAAGAAAGAAAGAGAGGCAGAGATAGTAAATCTGGGATTCTAATTTCAGAGAATACTCTCAGACACAGAGCTGTCTCAGAGATGCCCTAGTCGGCTGCAATGTGAACTTTGCCCACAACTACTTACTCTCTATACGCCTCCACTTTGAAACCAATTCAAGTATGGGACTCTTTCTAAGGCAGTGCAGAACGGTAAGACAAATTCTATTGCAGAGTTCTCAGCATAGTTTTGTAATAATAATAATAATAATAATAATAATAATAATAATAATAAAACATTGTATTCATTTTAGGCACTTTTTGGAAAGAGCAAAACCCTTAATGAAAATAATGTTGCTTCATAAATTATATCTCACAACATCGACTCCGCCTATTACTTAATGTTGTTTATCACGACATTTACTGTGCTGGAATCTAATTCAACATTCTGTTTTCTAGCTTCCCACACCGACGTCGTCCACTCCAGACAAGCAAAATATCCGTCCCTCCAAAATAACAAAAGCGTCCATAGCGCTGGATTTAAAAACGTCCAGAATAACGTCATCCACATCAAATCCCACGACAACCGGATACTCATACCAAGGTGTGGCACCAGAGGTGAAGATGGCACGCCCCTCTTACGTCAATTACGAGAGGGATAACGTAGGAAAGACGGCAGGCCTCCTGTCACAGAATGATGCCGTCATGGAAACAGAGCACGTGAGAACAGAAAACGACTTGATTGTACCACGTCATCAGGAACTTCAGGCAGGGGGCGTGTCTTCGAATTCTAAACAACCAAACCATCATGCCTTAGTTCCCTCAGACACTGTTAATCAGAACACATTAGCAAAAAGACCAAATGTGATCAAAGAGGTTTTTACAAGATCTACAGATCACCTGAATTCTGATAAAGGTAACCAAGCGAGTATAGACAAACAACCAATGGGCAGAGATAGGACGATCAACCGGGACATTGACACTCGTAACAATGAAAAAAACAAACAGTCCATAAAAGCTGATAATACTGATGGATCTTCAGTAGCTTCCACTACTTCTGGTGTTAACTTTGTGTTGAACGCACTGGTTTTAATGGCCGTTTTGTACGTACTATTAATTTAATATGTAATCATGATTGACATTGTGAATAGACTGTTCAATAGACTGAGGGTCACGTAAAGTGTTTTATAATAATTATCATCGTTAATTTCCGACTTTCTTATTTATTTTTTTATAAATATTATTATTTTGTAAAACTAAAATTGTTGAGCGTTATATTTAGAGCCGTCACCTTCTTCAAAATATAGATGGCTCTTTATGTTCCACATTTCACAGTGCTCTTCATAATGACGTTTCATTCAAAAAACTTCTTTTTCATTAGGAAGATATTATTTATACTTGAATCGGACATGTAGCACACTTTTATACACAAATTAAATTTATTTTTGTAAAAAAAGTGTTTAAGTGATCAGGTTCAAGTGCAGTGAAACCCTCACATCTGGTTATAGAGGCTCAATTTCCTCTAAACAATGTCCCGGTCTTACAAAACGGGCAATGCACTCAGTGACCGTAGTCCTCCGCCAAGGCAGCTCAATTCTCATCGTTATTAATAATAAATCAACAACAAAATCTTATCGATTTTATGTTACTCAATTTAGACATTTCAAATATTTTATAAACGTATTATCTTTTGAGTTAAACTGATAATTAACAAACCCAAAATGACATTGTTCAAATTAGTTCTGTAAAACAAGAACACGTTAAACNTCATCGTTAATTTCCGACTTTCTTATTAATTTTTTTATAAATATCATTATTTTGTAAAACTAAAATTGTTGAGCGTTATATTTAGAGCCGTCACCTTCTTCAAAATATAGATGGCTCTTTATGTTCCACATTTCACAGTGCTCTTCATAATGACGTTTCATTCAAAAAACTTCTTTTTCATTAGGAAGATATTATTTATACTTGAATCGGACATGTAGCACACTTTTATACACAAATTAAATTTATTTTTGTAAAAAAAGTGTTTATGTGATCAGGTTCAAGTGCAGTGAAACCCTCACATCTGGTTATAGAGGCTCAATTTCCTCTAAACAAGGTCCCGGTCTTACAAAACGGGCAATGCACTCAGTGACCGTAGTCCTCCGCCAAGGCAGCTCAATTCTCATCGTTATTAATAATAAATCAACAACAAAATCTTATCGATTTTAAGTTACTCAATTTAGACATTTCAAATATTTTATAAACGTATTATCTTTTGAGTTAAACTGATAATTAACAAACCCAAAATGACATTGTTCAAATTAGTTCTGTAAAACAAGAACATGTTAAACTCTTCCATTCCACACACAAGCATGACACAAATAACAAAACATTGTGAAAACTGACAGTATGAATTTTCTTTAAAGACGTTTATTATTTTTTTCTCTGACATAAGAATTACATAAATACAATCATTTCTGAAACTGTTTCTTGCCTCATCGCAAAATAGTTCTTCTTACACGGAGAAGGCAATGGATATAACACAGTGTGCTTGGTAACAGGTAAATGCACACAGTTTACCGTCCAATCAAGGATTTTGCTAAGAGGCAAGGGGTTTCCCTCCCTTTGTTTCGAAAATATAAAACATTTGACAAGAGCCATGTTACTATAACATGGGCATAGGGAAGAGAAAAAACAACTGTTTTTTTTTGTTTTGTTTTGTTTTTTTGTTTTTTTCGTATCACTTCTTTTGCAGATTTTGGAGAAGAAAGGGGCGGTTCCTTCAAAGTTAAGGCAGGGAAAACGTGCCTGCTGTCCTCCCTTCTATCCACCGTTGCATATTGATTTACTGTTATGTTTTCTTCACATCTAAATAACAAACTCATAGTTCTAACCGTCAGTAGATGATTTATTATAAGAACTACCAATATAAAAGTACTAAAATGTTCTACCAAATGCTAAACCCATGGAAACCTAAATGTATTAATGTATGTATTAATTTGTTAAATCCCTTTCAGTTTATATACGTAAACCACATTTTTAAAGGTTAAAAAAGTACAGATTTGTCTATTGTGACCACGATTCATCAACAAAAGAAATTTCTTTTGTGTTTGACGTCATCAGTTTACTGAAAAGCTGACGTCATTGTCGATCTAAATATGGTCGTCCCCAATTTTAAGAAATCTAAATTAAGAAGTGTCCACATATTTTATCGCTGATTCACGTGCATGAGATGTATTTTTAGCTCAATTGTTTGCAGTTGCTTGGATAAAATCCAGCTTTCAAAAATAATGCTGGGAGCCACAATTTTTCATGCGGTTAACAGATTTTTCAAGACCACAAGATCGAGGACTTATGACCTGTTCTTAAAATATTGGTACTTAAGCCTCTGGTACTCAAAATCTCTTGCCACTGCACATAAAACACCACTTTAACACCCCAAATATGAGAACAGGAGCACATAAGGAAAGTACGGGCAAACTTGGTATTTTCTTATCATCACTGGATTGTAATTCTTTCCGGAAAAATTCTTCTCTCACATCGATTTCACTTTCATCATTTTCATCTTGGGTTGTTTTCTCTTCATCTCTCGGCGGTTCTCTCTCTCCTAAAAAAGAAAAGAAAATTATTTCCAAAAGCTGTTCAATGAGACCTAGTCTCCCTACACCCTCCACCAGAACCGCAAAAAGATTTTTTTCACTAGATATAAGCAGATATTTTTCTATTTTTTTTTTTCTGTGCGCATTTCTGTCAAGAGAGAATTGCTGCACAGATTGACGTCATCATTCTGCTGGCCTCTTGTACGGAATAAAAATTAGGGTAGGAAGGGTACACACATAATACCAAATAAACATTCATCTAAGCTGCCTGCATGTGCTTTGTGATACTAGAGAAAGGGACAACAAGAACAGGAGCAAACTGCAATCATCAGAGGTCCTTACGCATAGAAAAAACCAGAGCTCCTGAAAGTAAATGGGGGGGGATGAACATTAATAGCATGGTCAAAAATACATGGTGACAAGGATTCCACTTTTCAATGCACTAAACTCTGCACCACCCTACTACAAGAAGTCAGTGGAATGATAAAATTGATTCCATCAAAAATATCATGGTGGATACAATACATGAAAATGTAGAAAATTATACTGAGACATATCTTTGAATATCTAGCGAAAAATCAATTTGTGGCCCCTGTAGAGTGTAGCATCACCCTGAATTTCAAAGATAACTACAACCTCCCCATAACCAGCATGATGTTCCTGTAATTACCAGAGGCAAGTTTGCAGGTATCTCTCAAACTCAGCAGGCCTGTAGCTAGGGAGGTACAGGGGGTTCCAAAGCCCCCTTTCCTTTAGATGAGAAAAGGTCCCCTCTGGGTAAAATTTTATGTAGGCACATATAGGTTTTTTAGAAAAGAATACCCCCCCCCCCCATCTTTGAAATTGCCGGCTACAGGGTGCATTATAAATGATTAATCAGTATCTTTATTTCTGCACCCACCTCTTCCCCTGAACAGCCCCTGGATGTGACACCTTTGATGTGGTTGTTATCCTAGGAGCAAGTTGAACCATAACAATGACAAATACCCACCCCTCCATGGCCTTTTCCCCTCACCTCTCACCTGGTAACACATAAAACATTTCTCCCAGAGTAACAAGTGCTTGCTTTTACAGGGGTTTGTATCAGCAGAGAGCTAAAGCCTGGTAATTGGTCTTCGTGTTTAAGACGGAAACATCAGTCTATTTTGAACCAAGGTTTAAATCGGTAGTGGTCCAATTAGATTGAATAATGTGTCTGTTTAATGAAGAATGAGGGTTAGTGCTTAAAAACAATGCTACTATGAATTTATCTTGACACGAAGTAAATCAAAATTTTAGTTTAAAAATTAAGATCGATTTTCAGTCTTTGGTGTAACTGGTGTATGGGCTTCACGCAAAATAAATAAATAAAGAAAGAAAGAAAGAAAGAAAGAAAGAAAGAAAAATACTGGAGTGACACACTAATATCATTATGAAAATTGTCCAAATTGATTTCATACATTTCCCAGAACTATGCTTAGTTTGTACTTTCCCAAAAAGATGATAAAAAGTTCACAAAAAATCAGTTGGGTGCAGGTCATAACGTTTTTTTCTTAAACTTTCTGAAACAAACCCCTTTTTTAATTTTACTAAAATACACTTTTATTATTATCATTACTTATTTTAAACTGGGGGGGGGGGGGTATTTTGCATTATTCAGAAAAGCAATGACAAAAAAGAAACTAATGATCCATTCTATTTTCCTTTCACTTGTTAATCATTTACTGCCACAGGACAATGATATTTTTCCCCTCCTTACAAAAAGAAAAAACAGCACTGTGGTTTGAGTTACTAGTGCTTTCCCATGTAACAGCACAGGTAGGTGTGCAAACATGGAGACTATAGACTATTTGTCATCCTAATGTTTCAGAAGACAACAGAAAAAACTATAAATATGCTAAAAGTAGACACAAATGGACAAGTGGAGAACCCCGGGCTAAACATTTTGCTTGGCATATGAGGTCTTCACTGACGTCTTACTTATTGAGTCTGAGTGCACTTATGTCTTATTTATCAACTGCCTTGTGTCCAATTCATGCTTTCTAATTCAAAGATTCATCAACAGGGGAAAAAAGTGAATTTTTAGAAATATGAAAAAAATTTGAAAAAAAAAAATTATATGTCACAGCCACACAGCTGTATATGGGGGGCTGGTGTACATAAGTATTTTTAAATGCCTAGACATCAAAGCTTGACATAAATCTATGAAATAGAAAAAAAATTGTTTACCCATGTTATTGTTTCCCCTCATAACATATTCCAAGAAAAGTGTTACATCCAAAATACAAAACTATTTTTATAATTTCCAGAATTTTCTCTTTGAATTTGTTACATTCCTTTAAGCCATGGTGGCCTTATATTAAAAGATTTAAAGATAAACAGCCTAAATTTCACTTCTCACTGACTTTTAATCAACAAATGATTTCAACAATAAAATGTCTGGATTCCTCAGATCCTGCTGTGTTAATGCTAGTTAGCACTTTACTGTGATTTAAATGTAGTTATTGAGGAAAACTTGTTTGTTTTCTTTTTCTTCAAATTTTCATGACTTCAATTTTCTAAGAAATCTGAATGTTTTGACAATATTTGGAGCAGACATTTCACGTGGGAAAGTGACCAGGTAACTGTAAACACTGGTGGCTATTATGAGGACAGGGCCAGAAAACAACAGTTTTATTGTTTGAATAATTAAATTTCTTAGATATAAAAATGTAGGTTTGGTCAGAAATGGGCTTATTGTGTGCTACATAAATTTGTCTTAAAACCTCCATCAGACACAACATTATAGTTACTGCATATACTGATGGAACAGTGATCAATACATACTGGAAAAGTGCTCAAGACTTCAGAAGAAATATTCTCTCAATTAACCTCATTTCTTTGCATGTTTTTGTTATAGCTTTTGTGTCTTGAACCCAAAAGCTGTACAGTTTCTCTGATAATAATAATAATAATAATAATAATAATAATAATAATAATTATTATTATTATTACTGCTACATTCATAATAAACATTTACTGACGCATTCCCTAAAAAAGCTCAATTTGCCTTATACAAAGATTAAACATTTAAAAAAAAAATGAAAATAAAATTAACAATTAAATGAACACATAACATTCCATCATTTATTTAAAAAATAAAAATAAGATAAAAAAGGGCGACTCCTACCTCCAGCTTTCTCTGCTTATCAGGATCTTCTTCATTCATGATGCGTTCCTTTTCCGTACGTCTCTTCTCCTCTCTCCTTAGCTGGGCGGCCTCCTGTCGCTGGGAGTGGGTCTGCTTCAGGTACGACTCGTGCATGCGCTGGCGATTCTTCTCAGCCTTCATCTTGGCCTATTAAATGAAGAGGAACTTTTTTACTTTTTTTAGTTGAGGTGGTGGGAGTCATAAAAATTGATAAAATTGTTTTAAAAAAAAAACTATTTTACACAACCAGAAGCTTTTGCTAGAAAATTAGAAATAGAAGATTTACATAAAATAAAGTGTTGCATATGTTAAGAAAAATATACAATAAAATAGCGTGTGTTTAAAAAATTAGTCTGAATTATTGTTTTAATAAGAAACTTTCATAATCAAAAAAAAAAGGAAAAAAATGCAAGAACCAAAGCCCCCCAGCTCCATATGTGGAGTCTGGTGGCATTAATATAACTCCTGCATAAAATAAACCAGATTTCTGAATAAATCCAGGAGACTTTCATCTCTAAGACAGAAAGTATTTATTTGTCTGCAATTTTAATTGTGGGCCAGATAAATCATAAACCTGACTAAAGCATTAGAAATGGGACTAGTGAAAGTTTATCATTTCACCAACAGAAAACTTCCATTCAAAACATAGATATAAATGCCATTCAGTGCAAAAGTCTGAAAATATGGCATGGGGTCCAGGGGGGTCTTCTGCATCAATCTCAAATATGATATTTTTGGTTCCCATTTGGAAAAAAATCTCATTACTAATGACAACCTGAAAATTGAAAATTCTGCCAAATTTGAATCAGTATTTCTTCAGACCGCCTGCGCAGGCAGATATGATAACAAGCTGCGCAGCGGTCACTTGTGGTCAGTTAATGGTCATTGGACACAGGGGGGATACCCACCTCCTTGGTCAGTTTAATCCTCTTGACCTTATCAATGCAGTGGATGACCAGCTGAAGAAGCTCTTTCATTCCGTCCATGTCTTCCACAGTTGTACGTCCTTTGTCACCAACTGGAGGAAAAAAAGAGGTTTTTCTTAATGCCGATCACACTTTTTCAAGAATAGACAATACATCTATAAATCATAAATGTCAACCAGCAATTTGTAGTTTATGGTTAAAATTTATCTTCTATTCGAGTCGACCTTCATCTAAATTATATTTTCAAAGCAAAACAAAACCCTAGTCATCTTTGGGATCCTTAAAAGTGCCCCAAATTAATTTTTTCTAATAAGACAGATTGTCTAGTCTCCATATGCTCCATGTGATGTAAATTATAAATGAAATATAATAAACATATAATAAAAATGAAAATAAAAAAATGTCCATCCAAAATGGAAACCGGGAGTCCAAAAGGACAGCTGAAAAGTTGCCTGGTTAAAGACATGTGCCATACACTAACTAATTTTCTTCTCTGAAACTTGGTAACTCACCATTGAAGCAAAACAGAAGCACCTTCTTGGTTTCTGGGAGGGTGGTTGGGGTGTCTTGACTAAAAGAGAGAGAGTGTGAAAAATCTGTACCGATTGCTTTCTTGCTCATCTAACACAATTGGCTTCCAAATCTGTCATGATATAATTAAAATTTTCTTTTTCCCCAGACATTAAGAAATATTAACTTGCAGTAGTTTGCCTTATTAGTTCATTCTGCAAGGGATGTATATTGAGCACTCCACATGCAAAACTAACACATCCAAAAATATCTAGGAATAAAAGAAATTAAGTGTTGTAAAAAAAAAATTCAAACTTATCCCAAAGAGTACTGACTCAATAAAAATGTTAAGTGCCCACTTGAATGATATCTTAGTACTCACTCTTGCTGCTTGGGGCCAGAGTACTGATCTGAGAAGTGAATGAACTCAATATTGCTCTCATATCTGTTCAACACAGCACAAAACTGAAAAGGAAAATATCAACATGATAAGTTTATTAATCATATAGATTATTGGAAACAGAGTTACAACAACCGGAGATCAAAGTGGACCTTTAAAAAAAATCTTGATAATGCAAGCACTGCAGGTACACGGGGAGGTAGGGGCTTACAGGACATGGAATAAAAGCAGACATGGTGGCCAAGAACTGAATAAATGTTACTTGGCCTGCTTCGATTTCATACTGACATTTGGCATGGCTCTAGTCAGTGTTTTTCTCTTAGGAAAATTAGTTGCTGGACTGAAAGTTCAGCAATTTTGAAAAGTAGCTGGCTCAAATGTCTGCCGGGTGGGAAAACTTCTCAGCCCGTTCTGAAAGTTGTCAGCCCCGGGCAGACGGTCCAGCCTTAATTTCTAACACTGGCTCTAGTGTTTATGTGGCAGACTGGATGCTACTTACAGTCTTGTCAAATACAGCAGATGTGGCCTCTCCTATCTCACTCAGCACTTGCAGGGACGGGGGGATATTCCCTTTATCAATACCTTTCTTCTCAGCACAGAAAAAGTTCTAAAATGAAAGTAAAGATATTTAACTGTTAGACCACATAATGCTTTATATAAAAATGAGTTGTCATATGAAAATAATTACGCCTGGTTTTATGTATTTAATATTCATCTTACTATTCAAAATTTAATTTCACGTGACATTGGGGAAAAAATACCCAGTTCAAAAGGGTGTGTATTTTCTTTTAATCCAGTGGCAAAAAATATTTCACTTTGGTTTAATTAGATTAACATAATTTTCATTTTAGTGAAGTTGGCAAATATATTGTAAGCTTTAGTGTCTTATCCAAAAAGCATAACTTGAGACAACATAAAGTTGTATTGTTAGTTAAAATAAAGTGGATGAGAGAGAGAGAGAGAGAGAGAGAGAAGACAGCTCCACACCTACCAGATCTGTCTGCTCTTTTAACAGCTTGGAAGCCACCTTCTTCTGAGCAACAGCAAACACAAAACTATCCATCTCTGTCTCTTCCATGGTAACTTTTATCAACTGGAACATTAATCACTAAACTAGAATATAATATATCACCAAAAACAAACAAAAAACCATCCGTATCTATCTCTTTCATTATGACTTTTATCAAATGGAATATAAAACAACAAAACAGATCACAAAATAACATAACAGCAACATTAGGTTCAAGTTGATACTGACACTAAAATAATTATCATGAGCATTCATACACTGGTAGGCCAAAATCTAAGTCCTTCAAGAAGTTGTGGTTAACATGCTTACTTACACATAATGTTTGTCTTACAAATTAACATCATGGAGCTATCATTAACTTTCATACCAAATGTATTAAATCACTGAAAGTTTGACTTTACTCCCAAATTAGGATTCAGAAAAGATTTGTACTTAAAATGTACATCATATTTTCAAGACTTCTCACAATAAAAATGTACAACATAACTGTCAGATGATAAACCACAAGCCTCCAATGAAGATCTAAATACTGCTACTTACTATCTGATCTGACTTTGGGCTCAACATCCGCGATATCGTATTGATGAGATCTTGGCGTTTTAATAATTTCAGCTCCACCAACATTCCTTCGCAGCACACTCTTCCACTACACCAGAGGGAGTAAGTGTGCTCTGACTCCTTTAATAGGTGGTTCTCTGTGGGTTCCTTGGACTGGCCGTCATCACCTGGTGGATAGAGAGAACAAAATATAAAATCTTCACGTACTTTTTTACAAACTAACAATTAGGAAGGCATGTACCCTTAGCAATGATAGCGCATGACTGAATCTACATGTTTAAAGGTGAAAGAAAGAAAGACAACTGAAAACACAATAAAGTAAGCAACTGTAAATCTAGCTGCAGCCATGCTTGTTAAATATGACACATTTTGAAAAAAAAAATTACGTTGCTGCTCATTCACCAGCATATCAATTTTGTCTGACTTGAGAAGTACATTATTCACATGTTACACTACCAGTAACTATTAAATATCAAGCTAATGAAACTGTTCTTTCATAAATCAACATACATTTTCCCCACACCTACCCACTATACTGAACTCTTTATGTAGCAACTCTTTATGTGCGTCAAACCAGGCAGTGGCCAGTTTACTGTTCTTGGTTTTCCCTGCAATGAAGTTGAGGAAGTAGACAGCCAGTCCTGCCAACATCAGCATTTCCAGATAGAAACTGTCCCAGTTGGTTCTCAGGTGAAGAGGAATCTGAGAAAATATGAAAAAAAATATCAAATCACAACAACTTTAAATGAGGAAATGTCATTAATGCTTTTTATCAATGTAGAAAGATAAAAATAATTATAAAAATAAATTTAAAAATCATTATAAATAAATAAATAAATAAATAAATAAATAAATAAATAAATAAAGTAAAAAGGGTTATCTGATTAAGTCACTCAGAGGGCTAATCTGAGTAAAATATTCTATTAAAACTCTGTATAGAGTATATAATTATTATTGTTTTATTATAGTTATTTTATTATTATTATTATTTTTTATTTTTTTTTTTTTTTGGAGGGGAGGGGGGGGTCACCGTGATGGTTTCTAGGAGAGTGGACATTTCACTTATTCTTGAGGCAATAGTATCAAAAGCTAGCATCACCTTTGTTATTTCCAAGGGGGGAGGGGTCTGATCCTTCCCCTTCCTCAGGTTGACCGTGTCTTGGTCGATGCCTTCAAATTCCTCATCATCCAAGTGCTCAAACTCATCCTCATCCTGTAGTAATAAAAAATTATAACAAAATTACACAAAAAGAAAATGTTTCATGTTGGACAGTTTTAGAGAGAAAACACAACATCAACAACTTCTAATCTCAAAATTGAAAATGTAATAACTAGGGATGCTAAGAACAGTTTTAGCTTTGACTAGGACTTGGCTTCTTAAAATTCACAACAAAAATAAATCAAATATTAAGAAACATAACATATTTTTGCCTGTGGTGGAGAAACCAAGACCAGACCAAAAACACACTGCAATACACAGGATTATTACGATACTTTTAACCTAAGAAATCTAACTGCAAATATTATAAATATTATTATACATAATGCCAAAATTTACAGGGGTAATCCTAGAGAGGGGAAAGACATGGCAATGTTTTGAAAGGCATATCTGGAAGAAATTACGAATATACTAAATAATCACACAGATACTTAAATGACAGCTCATACTACTCTTCTTTACTTTACATGGATGGCTTTTAAAGATTATTTACAAAGGACAACAAGTGGTTTATAACCTTCTGAAATTTACCTCTACAACTCCGTCTTCTTCCTCATCGTCATCAACTGGTGCCATGACAACCTTCTTGGGCTGTTCTCCAAACTGCTTTTGCTGCTGCTGCTGTTGTTGCTGTTGTTGTTGTTGCTGAGGAGGCTGTTCAAATGCTGCCTCTTCTGCAACAGATATCATCAGATCAATTATTGCTGAAGTACATTTAAAAATGCATGGTGTTCACTTTCATCAGAGTTATCACTAAAAATAAAAATATGGTTACTATAAACCATGGTTACAGCATGGCAAGACCCATCGTTTTCGGCTCAAACTGTGATTGAAGTTAGGAAAAGCAATCACTGCAAAGTCCGTAGGGCAGAATAGAGGAGTTAACTGACGATACAAAGTCTCTCAAATTATTTCCTCCACTTCACATACTAGTAAAGCTCTGTGACTCGAGTCGACCTTCATCTAAATTATTTTAATTTATTATTGTTATCTTTGCTGAGTTATCTGCTTAACTGCTACATTTTGTGATATCCTTGTGCACAAAAAGGCATCACCTGACTAAGAGAAATTTTCAAAAATTTTCAAATTTTTTTTCCAATTCCAAATGACTTTTCTACTCGTATAAAATCTAAGTACTTCAGAATCTCATGTTTTTATGATCATAAAACTTAATCTTACAGATTACCTTCATCTATTTCTTCAAATTCTGCAAAGTCGTTATCATCCAGATCGGNTTAAGGGGTCTAGGATATTAAAAATACGTCTAAAACTCGATTTTTAGTTTTTTATACGTTAGAAATAATCAATTTTGTATCTAATACTCAATTAAGTTATATTTGTGAAACACGGACTAAAAATATACATTTGGACGAGTTTTTCTACCTGTCCTGACTGGTACGGGTGGCAGGCTTTAGGCTCCGCCTCCGTTGTCAAGCACCGTTACTATGGGGGGCGGGGCAAGAATGGTTGTCTAACTTCTTAAGCTGTTACGCGTGCCCTGGCAGCTCATAAGTCTTACGTCAGCTAAGCAGAACACAGTTATATACACAGTCATGGGAAGAAAGAAAGTCGTGAGAAAACGGATGAGCGAGGAAAGCAAGAGAATTTTGAAAGAGAGTGCTTCTGGTGGATGGAGAAACCCCGCGGTAAAGACTCGAGATCACACTTGAACTGCTGAGTATTCGTACAACGTCTGGGGTTGTCAGAAAAAAATCGTTAGGCAATCATTTTATGCACAATAAAGATTGTAATAGCAAGCAAGTTTTAAAGTAATATTGCCACCCAAAACATTTTCAAATTCGCATATTACGGTCTTGGCACTCTGTGGCATCATGGCATATACGTACCCACATTCGGCCATTTCTCGGAGTAAATCTTGCTTTACTTTCTCAACTTTCGCGTCTTGGTGTGTAGAGACCTGAAATCAATGGAAGCCCCCCGATTCGAGGAAGACCTCCTGTGAACTACAGGTGCCCTCACATGGTTAAATAGTCCAATTAATTTTAGATTTGCAATGTTTCCAGTATATCTTGCACTGGAAGTATATATATTGACACCTTTATCGCCAAACAATAACCTAATGCTTACAATTCTTATTACCCTCCATGGTAAAAAATCACTTACTGTTCACAATTCTTATCACCCTCCACGGCACTAAGACAAGCACTAATACTGCTGCCTCCCCGGTATCGTCAGACCAAATACCTTTCAGAAACGCCAAGTCTAACACAAGTGAAATGGTGACCACGGCAGCATCAAATACCTATAATATATTCACATTTGATTACTGGTTTATCAGCCTTGTTAACCAGCAATGTTTGTTGCTATTTAGATAATCATTGCTGAGTTTACATAATTGAAATATTATCTCTTTTAAGAGATAAAAAAGATTAAAAAAGCGAAGTGGGTGAATATCTTTCTACAATCTGCATTTTGGTTCTTAGATGTATTATTTGAATATGTCTTGTTTTAACATGGCAAATAAGGCTATCCCTAAACACCGAATTAAAAGACCAAGCACGAGGCTCACGAAGTCGAGAGAATTTCGTAAATCCCCATCCAGAAAATTATCAGGAAAACGCAACTGGATACTTGATTTTGAATAAATGGAGTCGACAGGGGGACTGGCGGACCCAGAATTCTGCTAGAGGGAGGAGGGGGCAGGATCAAAAGATTTTGGTGATTGAATAGAGTCAAATTGAAACTAGTAGACCAGAACAATTAAATCATGATATATAAATGTTCTTGGTTTGGTTTCATCTCTCTTTTTATACTGCTTTGTGAGGGGAGGGCAGCACGTGGTCCTCTTTGCCCCCCCCCCCCCCCCATCCCTGCCCCTCCCCCTAGATCTGCTACTGAGACGTGTAGAAAACGCGGTATGAGTCCCTTTTATAAGAACTTTTTCGCCAAAAATTCAACCTCTGTGCATTTGATTGATTAAATATCACTTACCTGAAACTTATACTGAAAGAATCTTCTTTTTGTTGCTATTATTCTCAAACAGTGCTGCAGGAAAAAAAGGTAAATACGAGATTCTACATGTTTGCTTCCCACCAATGAAGGAAATTAGCATTTTCTAAATTGAGTACCTTTGCATCACACTGACTTTTTTTGAAATTAAAAAAAAAAGTATGCACGTTACAACTATTTATTTGTCTATAGAAGAATTTTTAAGTGTAGTACTAACAAAGACTGCACAGGTTTAGAAAAACTGTACACTGTTATGGAAAGATAGGAAAACAACATACCACAAAAACAATACTTGACAGAATAAAAAGACTCAGCATATGCAATACGTGGCCGATTTCTTTCAAGACATGTTCGAGGGCATGGGGGCATTGGTCAGTATCACCAGGTAGTGAACAATTGCTAGGCTGCCCGGGGACTGCCTGTTTTGAAAGTGATCCTGTCAGCACATTCAAATACAAGACGCCAGGTTCTTCGGTTTGGGTCGGGGCGTGACTAACGGTGCTCTCAGACGTGGTTGGTCGTGGGCAGTGGATGTTGCTAATCTTGCGGATTAAATCTGAGACGCTTTCTGTAGCTCTGCTTTTTAAGTGTGGAAACCTGTCATACAGAGCTTGACGAATGGAAGTCACGTAAGACTCTGCTGCCTCCGTTTTTCCTGCAATACGGACAGTATATCGAGTATTGATGTTAAGGGCAAAAGCAATAACCTTCATATGCCATTTACTATTACCTCTTAACCAATTACTTAGTTCCGTTAGGTAATTTTTTTTCATCAAAATCATTTGTCACGTGGTTAAAATAAACATCCAATTAAACGAAAACACATCATGCATTTTTATTTGGCGGGCTACAGTTCTTACCATTGGTTAGAGTTAAATCAATCAACACTTCCCCTACTACACACCCAGCGTCCGCTATGGAAAGAATGCTGATAGCCATTAAAAGTGGGTAGCTGTACAGATACTTCGTTAGTCTCTTCCTGGAAAATTAGTTCATATTATTACTGAGGTCCAGTTTTTTGGCCATGATGCTTGAAAATAGATCGAATTCAACGAAGCAAAGTAATACAGCTATAACTCAATAAATTCGAATAAAATTATCTATTAATAATCCCCCTCTCCAAAACTGTTTTGCTTGTGATGCTTCAAAATGTTTAATCACAAGATTGAGAATTTAATCAGTTTTGTGTCAGGAAGTAAATTTTTGTGCGTGTTTGCAAACGAAGGGAAAATATTGGGGAAAATGAGACGTTGTAGTCTTAAAGAAAGACCTATTTTCAAAATTTTATCGTAGTATCAAATGAAATGCTATAAATATTGACATGTTTCTAGCATTAAATTCTTACAATTTTCAGGTGCTCAGTGCAAAGTCAACCTTAAATCCTGGCCAGTTTGGAACTGGTAAAGGGCAATAATGCTAGATAAATGGAGTGACCATAAATTTTATTGTATAGTTTTTCAATCTGGGACTTCCCCAAATAGACCGTGATTTATCAATTAATAATCAACAAACGCAAAATTATGTCAGCTGTCATTTTGTTTGTCGACGTTTATTTCTTGTATCCATTTTAGTTTTATCAGTCGTTCAGTAAGGCCCATGTGGAGTATAGCTGCCTGCGCGTGTATTGAAGTCCAGGGTTTTGTGACCTTGCACACATGAAAATCCAATAGAATAAACAACATGCTCCTCTGTTGCAGGTTTTGAGTGCTACTCAGGTGTCATAAAATTTCTTAAACTTATCTTGAGAACATATTGTTGCTGCTAAACAAAGAAGGCGTTTTTCATTTTTTTTTTTTAATCCAAATACGGCGTGTTTTGTGATAGCGATGCTTGAAGTTATAAACTGCATTAGTTGTAAAAATCTCAAATTTCAAGATCGCGTGTATTAATGAAGGCATTGAATTTGGCTAGTTTTCAGTGTTTTTAGATAATTTAAAACGTAAAATTGAAATTTAATATCAAAAGAAAGGTTTATTGTCGAAAACGTGATCAAAAATCCTTTTTCACTGAGTATTTTGCGCCAACAAAGCGTCCACTTTACACCCTATTTATTTTATATGAGTACTGCAATATATAGATATTAAAACCGTATATTAATACTTTCTGATTAATAGAAAAAAATCAATTTCCAGACTTTTGGTCGAGGGCCGATGTGACATATTTCAGATGTGAAATTGTTCATAACAATAAAGATGATTTGCTGGATTTCTAAGACATCATAAAAAAATCAAAATGATTTGGGCGGTGAAGAAAAGTTGAGATTTTTTCAAAACTTTTAATGCACAGAGGGAAGATCTTTAATCAAAACACCTTATGAGTCTAATATACCATGATTAAAACAGTTATACACGTACGTTTTAAAAACGCTTAATTTATTGATATTCGGGAGCATGCACGGAGGCAAGGTATGATTGAGCGTTTCAAATAAATGGATAAGTTAACAGTGGGCAGTAAAGGCAACCCAACGAATTCATTGTTTCACCTATGAATCTAATTTTTACAGATTTTTAGAATTTTCATAATTTTCAAAAAGATATACATATTATGACTATCGTTAATAAAACCCACTTAATTTTGAAGCAAACCTGGACCAATTTAAACAAAAAATTAAACGACTCGGGAAGTGAAAAAGATTAAGTCAACACTACAGATTACCTGAAAGAGACTTTCGCCGCTTTCTCCCATGTTTTATCTTTCTCCATGGCAACTGAATCCTGGCGTGAAATGATTTGCGTTTCCATTACTCCCACATCCAGACTACGAACCGCTTGGCCACAGATCCTCCGAAAGAGTTCCTTGGGTCATTTAAACGCCACTGCGCGTGCACGCTCTAACCATCAACAATACATTAGCATCAATAAAAGAGCAATAAAAGTGATAAAACTTTATCGTGTGCTGAAGTGGTATGCTAAGAAAGGTGAGGGGAGGGGGCTTGGGGTCTTGGCTAATAACCAGCATTAACCAACGTTATGATCGGTGTGAATAGGAGCATGAAGGATAACGCCTGTTTGAATATAATTGTACACTGAAGAATACCAAAATGAATTGAGATAGAATTCATGGAGAAAACACCTTCACACACACAAATCAAAACCTTGAAATAAATAAATACAAAAATTTCGTTAAGTTGACAACTACAGCCACAATTGTACTAGGACCCACTTAATGGGTTTGCAGGGCCCTAGAATTTGGGAAAGTGTAACCCACATCCATGGAAACACTGTACACATAGATCACATCAAATTTATTTCATACTGGACAGACAATTATTGGCAATATTCTTACATGTATATGGCATACAACAGATACCGTTTAAAAAATCATCCAGGACACCTCTACTAGCTACATGTAGTTGATATATTAGGCCCTACTGATAGAACGGTAACGAGCGGAATAAGGTCCACAATTACTTCAACTCACCAATAAACAGGCTTCCAAAACCCACATGATTGTTGTTAGACGTCTGAGCATACAGAAATTACCCATTTTCTTCACTCCCAGGATTTAAGGGATGGCTAGAGTAGAAAAATGGTGTTTAAATATGTTGGATATTGTGCTATATAACTTGCCCTAAACCTTAATGAACCGATGATTTTCCTGAGAATTACGTTTAAAAGTTATTTTAAGGGACCAACCGACTTTTAGTCCACCCTTTTGACAAGAAACATCATTTTTTGGACAGGATATATGGATCGATAAACCTTCATGTTGCATTTTTAATGGAAGGAAAATCACTGAATATCCTCGCACCACAAGCTTATAACAAAAACAAAAGTTGACGTACACTTAGGAATAGGCTTGTCTTGACCACAATCTTATTTCTCACGCCAGGTGGCAATTTTACCTCATTCTTTACAAAATTATTATTTCATCCAAAATTGCATACAGAGCACACAATAAGTATGATATTTATACTATTGAACATTATGTTATATACCAACCTTCGATATACTGTGCAATGTGCACGTATTTACCCCGAATAAACTGAGACTGCTGTTCTATACTTAAAGGACAAGGCATGAGGTAGACCGACACAATGGCGGACGGCGTGGACATCGATTTGTATGCAGATAATTTAGAGGATGATTTCCATCAAGTAAACATTTTGCATAATCTTTTCACACTTTGATGCATAAGTCATTTACTTTCTAAAGTATTAGGTTTGGAAAAGCATTGATCAAAGTCTTGCAGAAAACGTGCAATGACATTGTTATCACCCTCTGAATGAGGGATGTCTCTGATTTTATATTGTGAACGAAGTGATTTGTATTGAAATTGAAACCGTATGTGTGATGATATATACATATTTAATAGGCCATTGTAAATATTGGTGTTATTTGTCTGTGCAAGTGGTTGATTTGTAGCGTAGTAACCCAACAGAACGAGTCCGGAGAAGCCGTTATTTTGGATCTCGTCCCATTTCATGTATAGGTATATCAGAAAAATTTTCAAACTGATCAGAAAATTATAATACTTATATCATCTGAAAGGTAATGCAACTACTGACCAGCGGTGATCACTCAACTGTAGCTGTGCTCAAATTGTTTGTGACCAATTAGGGCAATTATGGCTGTATGTTTATCTAATGACCCGGAAACAAACCCAAATTGGCGACCGCACAAGCACATGGCTGGGATGGATTCCCTGCAGATCATGTACTATAAATATTGCGCATCAAATAAACTATACTTCGCATGGTTTAATTTTCATGATTTTTCTACATAATATTGCAAATTTCATAAACTTTATTTGCTATAAATTTCAAAATGTGGAAACCAGTACTTCCCTGACATTTTTGAGCATTTTGTCGAGGCAAAACTTCAAACACCCTGAACTGAAACTTCTCAAAGACTGCAACACGGGAAAATCACGTGACCGGATTTTACTCATTGATTTACAGCTTATTTAGTTAATGGCTTGTATTAGTTTTTTTACGCGGCACTAAAAAAGAGATTTAAAAAAGGGGTTCCATAGGCGAACTGTCAGCAGGCTGACTTCAGTTTTACACTTCACTGCCCCTGGATAGTTACGACTGTAGCGCCCCTAGCGGATTGTGATATACCTATCATGTATTGTCAGCTCGGCTAAATAAGTCGCCATATACAGGATTTTGATAGATTAGCAGTAATTAAAGTTGTAATTAAAGACACATCTTTTTTTCGATGAATAATATTAGTTCCAAACTCAAAAATAATCTATAGCTATGCAGATTTCAGTACGCTTTTTTAAATACTGTACTGTCTGAACAGAATGAAAGGCTGTATATAAATGAATTTTCAGTGTATGCAGAAATACACTTTTTAAAAAAAGGGGTGTTACTTTAAAAGGATGTGACATGCTTTTGGCCATGAATATAGCCTGTCAAAAGGAAATGGGACAATTGCAGGACTAATCTTGTGCACAGTCCCTGTAAGCTTAGAGCAGAAACAGATTATCAAACTTTATGTATTTTACGTATTGGTCTTGATAAACTTAAGAAGTAGAAATGTATTGTTTTAATTTTCTGTTTAGGATGCCGACTTCAATGGTGGCGGAGTCGACCTCTATGATGATGTCATAACATCACATTCAACCTCACAAGACCATTCCACAGAAGAGGTGAGCATGACTACAGGGGGTTTTAGAAACCAACTAGATACAATATTGAAAGCAAAGTAATTTTTGTACAATATAACTTATGATGCTGCAGTTCTGTTTGAATAAAGTGGAAACTGTCCAAAACTTTTCAACTTTTAACTATTATTTTTTTATTTTTTGTACAGCAGCATCACCCTTGAACTAGAGGAGATTCACCCATAGTTGGCATTGAACTTGAATGCACTTAAATCTTTCTTTTGGTACAAAATCTGGCGGCAGTATCACTAATATTTAATAAACTATTGTTTTTTTCGTACAGCAGCACCACCCTCAGTCAGATGGTCAAGAGACCAAACCTCGTGTGCCTGCAGGGACAACAGCTTACACAGGGAAAAGAGTGTCACTTTATGTGGGCAATATGACCTGGGTAAGAGAATACAGAGAGTTCTCTCTTTCAACAGTGAACAGTTTAGGGTACATTATTGAACAATTCTAATTAAGACTTCATTCTCGGTGCGGAGATGATACAGTTAAGAGTAGGATTCCCCTTAAATGACCATTTTTGCTAAGTGTTACCTAAATAAAAAATCACATAAGTAATTATCTATACCTATGTTTGCTTCTTCATTTGCAGTGGACCACAGATCAAGATCTGACTGATTGTATCACAAGTTTAGGAATCACAGACCTCCTGGAAATTAAATTTTATGAAAACAGAGCTAATGGACAGTCTAAAGGGTATGTATGTTTCTCCATCTTAACTTGGAACATTAAGACCGAAATGTTATTTGTTTCACTGATTGTTTGTTTTTTATATTGCAGCTGAAAATGTTATAAGTAGTGACTCAATATTTAAAAAAATTCCTCTGATTTTCACTGAGTGAACTTTCTATGTGATTGTGTGTACAATCTGTGTATAATCCTGCCATTTCATTCCTCAGGTTTGCTGTGGTAACTTTTGGGTCTGACTCATCTTCACGTATAGTAATGGAGAAGCTCCCCAGGAAGGACCTCCACGGCCAGGCCCCCGTGGTGACCCACTGCAATAAACACAACCTGTCTCAGTTTGAGAACCAGTCGCGGAAACCAGATGCTTCTCCTAGCCAGGACAGAGACAGGGACAGAGACAGAAATGACAACAGAGACCGAGATCGCGACAGAGATAGGGACAGAGGTAAGTGGACAGAGTCAGACTGGGACTGGGATAGTAGATTGGTGTGCATATTTGACAAGGTGCTTCACTTGTACCATTTTTTTTATTTCCATTTAAATTGAAATTTGATTTTTTCACAGCGTTGTTCTGCATTAAGCTGCTCTCACACCCCCAGTCACTCAGTTTCTTATTTTTTTAACAAACCAAAATCATGTCTGTTCACTTCAGGAAAAATGTTTGCGTTTATTCCTCAGAAATCACTTCTTAAGAATCATGGCCTAATAAAGCATGGTAACTTGATTAGAAGTGAAGACTATGAAATATGTAATGTCTAGGTTACCAGGATAACCGAGGTCCTCCAGGCAGGAATCACCCCCAGGGAGGTGGTGGGCGCGGGCGTGGCAACCCCTACCCACCCAGGGGGCAGAGGCCAGCAGGACCCCCAGGTCCCCAGGGACCACCCCCTGGAGCTCCAGGAGGACCACCACCACCACATTTTGGAGGTAAGTTTCCTTTGTGAACAACAGGTGTCCTCTATACAGAAGAAAGATGACTGGGAGATAATAGCAGTGAAGAGAATGTGATGTGTAAGCTTTTGGAAGTAATAATTAGGAATAACCCAGTCAATAAATCTAGATTTTGTTGCACAAGATTATTGATTTCCATACATTAATTTCTGTTAATTGTACACATTGAAAATGTTACATTGTTATTGTATTTGTTAAATATTTATTTTACTGTGTGAAAAAGAAATATAGTTATATTCTGCAACAAGTGGAAAGACCACTTATGGATGAGAAAAATTGTTTAGTTGAATTTGAAATCTTTCAGGCCCCCCACGCCCTGGCCCCCCTGGTCCCCAGGGCCCCCCTCCCCCAGGAATGCAGGGTGGACCTCCCCATAGACAACAAGGGCCTCCACCAGGAATGGTAAACATTGTAGACTTACTTGCATATTTAATGATCTTTGAAGGATTTTTTTCCAATAAAAAAAACAAAAACAAACAAACAAACAAACAAAAAAAAACAGATTAGCAATGATAAATGCAAATCTATATATCAGACCTTTAAAACTACCACCCTTTGTATACCTATGCATGTGTACTGCAGGTTCCCCGTGGTCCCCACCCAGGGGGAATGAGAGGCCCAACCCCACAAGACCCCAGAGCTGGCCCACCACGGCCCGAGTGGGACAGACCCCCTGGTAAGTTACTAAGTATCAATTTTTCAAATCTCTTGTGAAGTTCTGATGTGCTGTTTGTTTCACTAGGTATGCTAAATGACCATTTTCACTGCTGTCTAAAACTTGAGAGCAAAATAAAAAAGATATGCAGAGAGGAGTTCTCTATCAATTTTTATGGACAGACATTTTGAATGTCTGTTTATCACGATGTTGGTCCTTTAATGTCACTTTTCAAAGCATTCCTGTAGCTGCCAAACCATATTTTTATTTTGTTTTTAATTTAATGAGCAGTTATGTTTTTTTTTTTTTTAAAAGGGTTCCTTTCGAAAATCAGCATGATTGGAATATATTTGCAAAAGTTAGCTTTATGTATTTGATTATTTATTTATTTATTTATTATTGCTGTTTGGTGCCTGTAAATTTTCACATTTTGCTGTCTAGTTCATGTGTTGAACTCAATGTTTTTCATTTGGCTTAAATAAAATTGTTGGAACTTAGTAAGTAAACAGTTCACCTTCTATAACGGGGAATAGCAGGCTAGATTTGTCTTCTTTTCTCCCCATGCCTTTTTAACATGGGTGCATAAGTACATTGCGCTTGGTATATGGGTCTTATTAATGTATCACAATTCAGAGCTTCCCCCTTTTCATCAAAAGTTGGTTCGCCAAGAAGAATAAATGAGCTTAAGTGAAGAAGTTGACATCATTTGTCTTAAAAACCTTTCTGTGAACATTCAGTAATGCCGAATGGCTAGATAGTTTGCATAGTATTCACTGCCCTTCTTTTCTCCTTATCCTATACAGGGTGACCAAAAAAAAAAAAAAAAAAAAAAAACATATAAAGGTCCAGGAAATTTCAAGAAATTTCAAAATTTTAAAATTTCAATATGTTAATGATCATTCTTCAAAGTTTCAGTTATCTCAGTCGCTTTGCATAAAAGTTGTTTTTATTAAAATATGCTATAAAGGGCTTCCGAGGCATTGAATGCACGCTTGCATATGTAGTGAAAAAATTGTCAATTCCTCAAACACTTTATTCCTGTATTTCCCTGAATTTTGCTTTGGTTGCTGCCCTCAGTTCACACATCATATGAGGGATGTTCTGGTACACTTTATCCTTGAGAAACCCCACAGAAAAAATCTGAAGGGGGTTTCAAGTCTGGTGAATGCAGTGTCAACTCAATATCACACTTCCTGCTGATCACTCTCTCCTAAAATCACTATGTGGCAGTGTTGAGGAAGTTTTGGACATCACTGGGACAGTTAAGAGGGATAAATCAAGATGGACAGTGGTTCCAGCAAGATAGGGCCACCCCCACACATCAAATTACTCCCTAGCTTGACAGAGAGGGATTTCAGGAGCGATTACTGTTTTTTTTTTTTTTTTTTTTTTTTTTTGGGGGGGGGGGGGGTCACCCTGTATTTTTTGAGAATGTAATGACATTTTGTCTGAAAACAAGTTTAGGACATTTTTGCAAAATGATCCTTGTTAAATAGTTAAATTGAAGTTGTTTTGTGTAAAAGGACGTCCTGAAGTAACTTGTTAGCATCTTGTCAGAGTGGTGCTAGTCTCCTGTGAAGGCAATGTGTAAAGTCAGACTTGATGCTAACAATGGTGTTCTAATTGAGGATATTCAGGGAGTAGATGTCATCTTGACATTGGTTGATATGTACAGCCAACACGCTGCTTTTTATAGCTTACTCAGTGTGCAACATAGATGCCTATGACTATCCAGAAATTGATCTTTGAGATTCTAGAAACCTGTTGTGTATTTTGTCCTTAAAATACCTTTATAGACTACTGAGTAATGAGAAAAGCAATTTTCATATAGAGTCAGTTTTCATAGACTGTTGAACTACTGGCTATGTCTCACACTGTATACTGCAATTTCATTTATGTTTTATGGTTTTGATGTTTTTATTTTTTACTTTTTATTTTTCTTGATGTGCACATTTTGTTCAAAGTTGTGTTTTGCACCCTTTTATTTTTTTTATGTTCAGATCCTTATAGCATAAGCACTGCTCCTACTAACTGTGACTCCCCCGAGCCTCCCCCTCCCGGTGGTAAGTGAGCCTAGGGGGTGGAGGAAGTGGTGACAGGGGTGGATGTCCAAGGGGGGGTGGGGGTGGAGGAAGTGGTGACAGGGGTGGATGCCCAAGAGGGGGGGGTGGAGGAAGTGGTGACAGGGGTGGACTCCCAAGGGAGAAGGACATTGACGTCATTGTTAACCCTGACATTTTGCCTCTTTATCACACAGTTCACTTGAAATGTGAACAGAGTTACTGCGTATGTGTCTATAAAATATAGCACAGGTGTGAGCTAACTTATGTGCCAATTTGGCCGATTTTAGTATGCATCGAAAGGCTCACCAAATTGGATACATAGTAAGCTCAGCATCCATGGGCACAAATGGGACGAAGAAAGCCAAGATATGCACTTTATTGGTTCACGTAATATTATATGTGTACAGTGTGTAAAAGAAACAAAATGTCAGGGTTAACAGTGAACTCTACATTCTTTGATGTTGGGAGTTCAACCCCCTTGTTCTGTCAAAGTAGGAATAAAGTGATAGGCAAGAAGCACACATGGTGATTGCAAAGTTCTTGGTTCGCATATGACAACTAGGTAACGTGTCAAAAATATCCTACCTGGGATTTTCGTACCATATCTAATTTATATTGAGGAAAAAGGCAATTTTTTTTACGGTTTGAATTGGAAAGAGAAATAGGACATTTTGAAATATGACTTTGGGACATTTTCAAGTTTGTATAGTGTATCTTTGAACAAGCTGTAAGTTTTAACAGAGAGATGTGTTATGATCTACCTAGTGGATTATTTACTGCACTGCACCTTCACTCCAGATATCCTGATCATCAGTGCTAGCTAAATATGGGATGCGATTTAACGAGGAAATTGATTGCTTAATGCACTTAACAAAGCCCTCGTGGACCATTCATATGGTTATCTAAATGGAATCTAGTTCTGTTTGAAAATACACCATAATAATTGAATGGATTTTTTTTAATTTTATATTCTGCCTAAAGTTTGAAAGATATTTGGTGAAATACTTGTGGTGTTAGGAATAAGAAATGTATACTTTTTAAACTGTTTTATCTCGTTGACATTGTTTATGATTAACTGCAGTCAGTAATGTACAGGAAATCATTGTGGCCTGATATAGACCAGTCTTTTATCTTTTGCAAATAGAAAATGGAAAAAAAGACAAACCTTTTGGGGTTTATTGCATATTTTGGTGAAAATGTTGAGTAAAAGGCTTTTATTAATGGCTGCAAAGATGAGACACTCAAATTACCTGAGTCTCTTCTTTTATGTTAAGATTGTTTGGGAGGTACAAACCTCGCGATGTGAGAACCAAGATCTTTGTAATCACCTGTGACTATGCATGTTTTGACTCGGTATGGGGGGTATGGTGGTGGTGGCAGGGTTTTCAGTTTACACTGTACACAGGTGTAGTTTCTGGTAACAACATTGGTCAGAAGTGAAATGGGTGACTGGTTTTCAAGAATTTTCATGATCGTTCTTTTGTAGTAGAGGGATTAAACATGGTTGGTTGGTTGATTTTCTTGGAATTTAAGGGCAGTGCTTTGTTCCTGTATATATTTTTCATTCTATTTAGGATTAGTGTAAGATTCCTAATAAGGGAATTGCTGTATTTATATTTTCTTCTTGACTTCAAGATTCATTTACTGTAAATATTATATTTTGACTTTATGTTACACTTTTGTGTGTGTGTTTGTGTTTGTGTGTGTGTGTATGTGTGTATATTTGTGTGTGTGAAGAGGGAGGAGGAGAGTAAAAGTTGGTATTGGAGAATGTAGAAGTCTAATCCTTTCTGTGATTGGACAATGCATCCTAAGCACTGCTATTTTCTCCTACAGGTTATATTTTAGGGTTTGCATAGGCTTGACAATTGCTCTACCTCAAGCAATTCAGTTCATGATCTTGAAAATACTTGAAACTATGACAGGAAGCTGTCCTCATGTTCATAAGCTCCATGAAAAGTACTTGATTAAGAGCCTCTTAGTCCTTGAAAGTCCTTGAATTTAATCTTCACTTTGCTGTATGAATCCTGATAATTCCTGCATCACTAATTAGTCCAGATGTTTGAAACTAAATACTAATACTTCAGTTTCCTGTGAGAATTTCATAGAAGGAAATCTCTTGAGTCCTACAGGAAAATACTTAATTTTATTATTTTTTGATAAGCTCTCTATCTGCATCATATGCCATACAGAAATGTTTTAAGAAATGTCCTACAAGTGTCAGATTATTGCATATAAATGATAATAAAGCTGTGAATTTGCAGTGGATAGATTATAAGATTGTCTGGATGAAACATACAAAACAGATTTTTTTCTTTGAAAGCAGAAACAAAATTCAAGAAGTTTTTCCACATTTACATGGCTCATTTGGCTAAATTCTGATATAAGAGCGAAGCATATTTGCTGTGTGATGTTCATTTCAAAATTCTCTCCATCATTGTCACTGGTTTTATTCATTAGTCAGTAAGATTTTGCTGAGGTGGTTGCTATTCTCAGGAGGCCATTTCACTATTTCACATGATTGATTTATGTGTCAATTTATATATATTTTTTAGACTCATTTGTGTCTAGGGCTTCTTTATTGTCTGTCCAAAATAGGGAATAAAAAATAATAGCATTCCCTAAGCTTCAAGTTACTCTTTGACCAACAGTGTTTCCATCCTCAACTAAGGTAGAAATCTGACCATTAGTCATTTTTCATCAAGTATATTATTATGCAAACTTCATTGTAGTAAATGCCTTCCTTGTATCTTGTGATTGACCCACTGTGATCCAGAAACTAAGACCATTATTTTCTGCAAACTTTTATAACAACCTAAGGTTCCAGCCACTGGAGGCTTGATTTATGAAACTAATTAGATTACATTGGATGTTTGGGTCATGCCTTGGGAGGCTCAGATCTTACTTGGAAAAAAAAAGGAGTAAGCTGAGTTACCAGCCTCCAGAGCTCAGTAGCTCACCTTCAAGTTCTCTCTGACCGCAGGGTACACTAGTAGTCCGTAACAAAACTATTATATTGCACCCAGTGGGATTTCATGTTTTCAGTGGGGACACGTTCCTCGCCAGACATACCTGTGAGCAAATAAGCAGACATTTTGGTATATTTAATATTCCTTACAATTTTGATAAGAACAAGAGCATCCTTCCTGTCTCAAAGGTGAAGGTTATTTTACCCAGTGAAAAACAAATTTTAAAGGTTGCAGGTCTCTGTCTCTATTGGGAAGATATTTTATGTACACTGTCAGTGACTTACAATTCAACTTTGTATTTTAGTTGGCTATATACCACAACATGCACGGCCAATCCAACCAGTGACATCTTCTAGTAAGTTATTAAGTTATTAAAAAAGGAGAGAAAAAAATGCAGAATTCAGTGCTTTGTGCTACATATTGTTATGCAGATGGGCTTGGGATTTGCATGTCTCTTCCTTAATAAAAAAAAACCTGCCATGAAAGGAACTTGAGGCGTCCTTTTCAGCTTGCTTACACACAACCTTGGGGTCACAGTACAAGTGCCAACCTTACCCTTTGATTGGTTTTGATTGCAAAAGGAGAGGGAAAATATTTTGCTAAATTTTTGCTGATATGTTGGCAGAAATTAAGGCATTCTTGAACGCTATCATGTGATTGATACAGATAACTATCCTAGAGATTGCCCTGCTTTCTTTTTTATGCTCACTGTGTTAAAGAGGGATTTTGGGGATATTATTCAGTAGGTGGTTATAAGCCACCTGAACTTGTGATGCGAATTTAAGCAAAGAATATTGACTACCAAGTTCAACTGATGTGTGAAAGAACATTTTGCTTGTTTATGAATATTCTTTACAAAATGTTTTTGGGACATGAACTGACCTGTTATTAAATTGCACAAACATCATTAACTAAAGGTGTTAGGCAATTATAAAGTAGGTGTGGGCAGGAAATTACAGGAGAGGTTTCGTCATTCAGACAGTAGTGATAATCCTGTATTTGTGCCCATATTTTATTTTTCAAGATAATGGAGAATGATTAAGCCCCAAGTGGAGCAATTTCATTGGTTCCCCTTACTGTGCAAATTAAAAGGTGAAAATCTCATAATCCAAGAACAGCTGTGGCTGTGTCTCAGTTAACTTTTTGAAAAATCCACCATCATTTTCTGGAACTCCTTTTTTGTGATGACGTTATGTATGTTTTGAAAAAAAGGGAATTTTTTCAGTTTAGATTACAAAAGTATCATTACAGAATGGGGATTATCCAAGTAAATCCAAAGTTTCGTAACTTCGTGTAATATCAAGCAGTTGTGCGCAAGACTTAGAGGAGAGGGGGGTCAGACAAAATGGCAGACTAGCCAGTGTGGCGCAACAACAAATTAAAGCTGAAAGAATTTTTTCATATATTTTTTTTTTCGGGGTCCAGTTTCATTAACACTGGATAGCACTATCCTATGGATAACACTATCCATTAGATAAAATTGTCATCCTCTGGACAGTTATCCTGTGGATAAAGCAATGTTTCCTAAATGCTTAATAAATATTTTTGGTTCTGTTGCTATACAGTGGTTAAAAATGGCTGCTTTCATCAGGATAACTGTCTATAGGATAGCAACTTTATCAAGTGGATAGTGTTATTCATAGGATGGCGCTATCCAGTGTTGATGAAACTGGGCCCTGGGTTGTTTTCACTCAAGTTTTGTCAGATAACTATCTATTTCAAAACAGAACATATTCACCGTAGTTTGTGTGTCTTGTATTTCTTTCTAAAGCGCGATTTTCCTAACGCAAAGTTTCACCCTTTTTTGCTTTAAATGTTAGCCTCCCCTCACGCTAATCCTTACATGGTTTCTAGCCTCGCATGATGTCACACACAGCAGACAGCTCCCTCTTTGTTGAAACAGCATATTTATATATAATACACCAATGCATTGTTCAAAGTTGTGCTATTGTTGATATTTCAGTTTCCTATCCAGTGGGTCCACAGCCGGGCGTTCCCCCACAAATGCGTAAGTAGTACAACACAGTGAAACAAAGAAAAGGAAAAAAAAATTGTGGGATAGGAACCATTCCCAGATCCTATCTTAGTAACTGTGGATCGATCTAATTCTGAGGGGATTCTTGCTAAATTGCAATCAACAAGCGGCTAGGGGGTAATTAATTATCGCATAACAGCTTCAGTAGGTGTGCCAGACATGTAAGCCACTTAAGCTGAAAGCAATTTAGCAAGAAACCCCTCAGAGATGGATCAATCCTGTTAGATCGATCTAGGTATGGAAACCCAGTCATAGAAACTTATCAATGTACATGGCAGGCCTTTGGCTAAAATTTCTAGGTTACTAGCCCTTTATGCAACTAGTGTTTAAAAGTGGGGTAGTGTTATTTAAATTTTAGAATGTTTATAAGCTTAGAAAGTGTCTTTTTGGAAGGGTGGGTGCCTTGGTTTGTGCCTAACAGTGCACACTGTATGCATGTACTACTGTAAATCATTGCAAGCAAAATACTCCCATGTAGACTGCCTTTATCCATTATCAGGAAATAATTTTTGTGACACAGTTCATAGGTAAAAATATTGTGAATTTTTCATAAATATATTTAGCAATCATTATTCATTGTTATTTATTTAATCTTGTTTGTTGAAACATATTGTTTTATCATTATTTTGAAGAGATGTGCTCTTATCTGCACTCACGACGTCAGTTCAGTTTTCCTCATCAATATCTGTTTCTGTTAATCTAATCTAGAAAGTGATGTTAATAACATTACATTTTTTCAATCTGCACATCTTACCAGTTCCTTACAGTTGTCATTAACAGCCTCTTGAAAACTGGTCACTGAGTGTGTAAGTAAAGTTGCCATGACAACTATATGGAATGATGCATTAAAAGGGATGTTCATGAAATTCCTGTCAAAGTTCACCATGATGTCAGTTCAANAATCTCATAATCCAAGAACAGCTGTGGCTGTGTTTCAGTTAACTTTTTGAAAAATCCACCATCATTTTCTGGAACTCCTTTTTTGTGATGACGTTATGTATGTTTTGAAAAAAAGGGAATTTTTTCAGTTTAGATTACAAAAGTATCATTACAGAATGGGGATTATCCAAGTAAATCCAAAGTTTCGTAACTTCGTGTAATATCAAGCAGTTGTGCGCAAGACTTAGAGGAGAGGGGGGTCAGACAAAATGGCAGACTAGCCAGTGTGGCGCAACAACAAATTAAAGCTGAAAGAATTTTTTCATATATTTTTTTTTTCGGGGTCCAGTTTCATTAACACTGGATAGCACTATCCTATGGATAACACTATCCATTAGATAAAATTGTCATCCTCTGGACAGTTATCCTGTGGATAAAGCAATGTTTCCTAAATGCTTAATAAATATTTTTGGTTCTGTTGCTATACAGTGGTTAAAAATGGCTGCTTTCATCAGGATAACTGTCTATAGGATAGCAACTTTATCAAGTGGATAGTGTTATTCATAGGATGGCGCTATCCAGTGTTGATGAAACTGGGCCCTGGGTTGTTTTCACTCAAGTTTTGTCAGATAACTATCTATTTCAAAACAGAACATATTCACCGTAGTTTGTGTGTCTTGTATTTCTTTCTAAAGCGCGATTTTCCTAACGCAAAGTTTCACCCTTTTTTGCTTTAAATGTTAGCCTCCCCTCACGCTAATCCTTACATGGTTTCTAGCCTCGCATGATGTCACACACAGCAGACAGCTCCCTCTTTGTTGAAACAGCATATTTATATATAATACACCAATGCATTGTTCAAAGTTGTGCTATTGTTGATATTTCAGTTTCCTATCCAGTGGGTCCACAGCCGGGCGTTCCCCCACAAATGCGTAAGTAGTACAACACAGTGAAACAAAGAAAAGGAAAAAAAATATTGTGGGATAGGAACCATTCCCAGATCCTATCTTAGTAACTGTGGATCGATCTAATTCTGAGGGGATTCTTGCTAAATTGCAATCAACAAGCGGCTAGGGGGTAATTAATTATCGCTTAACAGCTTCAGTAGGTGTGCCAGACATGTAAGCCACTTAAGCTGAAAGCAATTTAGCAAGAAACCCCTCAGAGATGGATCAATCCTGTTAGATCGATCTAGGTATGGAAACCCAGTCATAGAAACTTATCAATGTACATGGCAGGCCTTTGGCTAAAATTTCTAGGTTACTAGCCCTTTATGCAACTAGTATTTAAAAGTGGGGTAGTGTTATTTAAATTTTAGAATGTTTATAAGCTTAGAAAGTGTCTTTTTGGAAGGGTGGGTGCCTTGGTTTGTGCCTAACAATGCACACTGTATGTATGTACTAAGACCGTAAATCATTGCAAGCAAAATACTCCCATTAAGACTGCCTTTATCCATTATCAGGAAATAATTTTTGTGACACAGTTCATAAGTAAAAATATTGTGAATTTTTTATAAATATATTTAGCAATCATTATTCATTGTTATTTATTTAATCTTGTTTGTTGAAACATATTGTTTTATCATTATTTTGATGAGATGTGCTCTAATCTGTACTCATGATGTCAATTCAGTTTTCCTCATCAATATCTGTTTCTGTTAATCTAATCTAGAAAGTGATGTTAATAACATTACATTTTTTCAATCTGCACATCTTATCAGTTCCATACAGTTGTCATTAACAGCCTCTTGAAAACTGGTCACTGAGTGTGTAAGTAAAGTTGCCATGACAACTATATGGAATGATGCATTAAAAGGGGTGGTCATGAAATTCCTTTCAAAGTTCACCATGTTATCAACATTTATTAATGCAATAAAATATGTTGGGTTTTGTCTTTAATTTCATTCCCTTGCACAAAATGTTTGCCAAAAAAAAAAAAAAAAAAAATATCTGCTTGAGGTGAGCCAATCATCTTGCTATTGCAATGATATGAACATTTTCACTCCACAGCTCATATGTGGCTTTTGAATAATGAAAACAGTTTATTGAGCTGTAGGTGGTACATGTATTTGCCCACTCTATACTCTGCAGTTTTTCTTTTTCAAATAGAAAAAAGTAAAAGAATATGATTCATTATGCCTTAAGACAAAAACATTTTTCCTCGTCTGATTGTATTTTCAAACAAATATTTTCCATTGTAATTTTAGCTCCATTTCAAGCAGCCCCAGGACCTGTTCCTCCCCCTGGCCACCACCCACCCCCAGCTGGACATCCTGGTGGACCCCCTGGACATCTGGGACCCCCTGGACACCCAGGGATGATGCCCCCTAGAATGGGACCCCCTCAGAGTAAGTGCTGTGAACCCCTTATCACAGGGTTTGTGCAGTCATATGTTAAAGATGCATACAAAGTCAATTTTTTGTCACAGAAACCAACCAAATGCCAGCATATAGTTTCAAGTAGTATAACTAAGAGAATTACCAAAAGGCATTGTATAATTTTACCCGGAAATGATGTTTGAACGGATTTTTCTGCTGGCATTCTAAGCTGTATGTCAATGGGGCAGGAAAGTAGGTCACGAAAGTAGGTTAAATTTACAACCATAAATTTAAAGAAAGGAGCCATCTAAAGGTCTTTTATGGCTCATCGAGTGATCTATTCAGTTTTTCCCTTGGCATGTCGAATTTATTTGAGTCATGTAAGAATCTAGTAGAAGTGGTTTACATGTATTACTAGGAATCCAGGCTCCACCAATGTTCGGTTCGTATGTACCTTTAAGGAGTAAAAGTTATACTTAATTTTATTTCCATTTTTTCTGTGATGCTTTAAAATGACTTCATTTCTCTGTAAAATTACTGTAATTTTTCTCAAAAACTTTCTGCATTATTCCTTGGCTTGCATATGTTATATATTTTTTATCAATATTGTGTGGTAAGCTGCATTGTCCACTTAAAGGTCGTTGCTTGTGGATGTGGAGATAAATCTATCGTAACATTTCATTGGCAATTGTCTTCCTATGTTACATTTCAGTTGAATTTAAGGTAGACTTGCACAGTGTTATGTTCACCACATTTTAATTCTTGTTCCAAATTCATGGAATATTTCTTAGCAAACTTTTGCTTATGATCAACCACAGGTACTAGGGGTGATATTAGGTAATGGTTTTGAGGTCAGTCTGAAACACAAAGCTGCCACATCTTGCACAGCTTTATGCATGTGATCACACGTAAGGGGAAGCACTGTCATAATGTTTTTTTTCCCTTTCAGATGCTCCTCCACATGCTGGCCCTCCGCCCCCCGGACACCCAGGGGCACCCCCTCCAGGACACCCCTACTCAGGGCACCCCCCACCAGGACAAGGGGGCCCTCCACCAGGCCATTCAGCCCCCCCGGCACCACATGTGAACCCAGCCTTCTTCCCCCCAGGACAGGCACCGCCCCACCCACAGGGAGGACCTGCGGTAAGGAGAGACTGTGTGTGTGTGTGTGTGAGAGAGAGAGAGAGAGAGAGTTTACCTGTGTATGTGTGCGAGAGAGAAAAGTTTTTGTGTGTATGTGTGCAAAAGAGAGAGAGAGAGTGTGTGTGTGTGTGTGTGTGCGTAAAAGCGAGAAATTGTGTGTGGTTAAAATTCAGTTTAGAATTTTTCTGTACATCTGAAAATATAGTATAATTGTGTGATTACAAGAACTCTGTTGTTCATGAGATGGATATTAATTACTGTAATGACTTGGATTTTTTCAATGAGGGGAAAATGATATATCTGAAAGATTAATAATTTTTGCCAATTCATAAGATCATTACCATTCCTGGAGATCTCTACATACACATGTAGGTTATTCTTTGTTCCCTGCCTGACATGACAAACATAGCTCTCTCACAGGTGGTTGTGACATGTTACAGCATGCCTTTGTTATAACAACAGTATAAATAGGAATTTCAGAATTCGATGTTATTGTGATTATTTTGTTGCTGTAAAACAGTTGGAAAAGCTCTTCAGGGTTGCTAAGCAATGTGACAAAAATTTAACTATGATTCTCATAAGTGTGCATGTATTGTATAATGAAAATAGAAATTGATAGTTTTAAAACTGTGCCCTGAAACACTTAATGGTGATGCAATCTAGGAAGTACTGAATGCTTTTTTATTTTTTACTTGATTTGAGAGCTTATGTTACCCTAAGGAATAATTTTTAAAACTTGTATGATGGCAATATCAAAAGTAAAGGTAAATACCCCATTCACACTACGCTCAGTTATCCGGATAAGTTGCGAATTAGGTCACAATTCGAATAAATGCAGTAGTGTGAACGCAAGAGGATTTCTGTATTGCGCATTTTCAAAATCCTGCAAGCGAGGTGGATTTCTAAGCACGATCCGGATAACTTACCGGAATCGACACCTGTACAGATCTTACTGCGCATGTGTGCAGATAAGTGCGGGTATCTATGAACGCTTGTTTATTACTTTAGCGATTGCACCAAACATATTTGGAGGTCACCACTCACTACAACATGAGGAAACAAACTTATCTTGCCATCTTATGCTTCCCAAGAATGCTGGCATGTCTTTTTGAGATACATTTGCCGTCACATTTTTTTGTTGGCATTTTGAGTTTTCCTGTGCGGAGCATGCGCAAATGTTCAAAACAGGAAGTTAAACCTGAAATTTTCAACATGGGATTCGGTTTCGCTTCGCGAGTGTGAACACAATACCGAATCGGATTCCTCACGAAAAATCCAAATTATAGAAATGCGCATTTTTGCAACTGTAGTGTGAATGGGGTATAAGACATCTTGTTGCTTCCTGAACTTAAACTGAACTCAGACTTTTCTAAAAGTTTATTTCACACTCAGTAAGTTCATAGCTGTGAAGAAAAACATCTCTATGTTTGCTGTTGTTGTTATAGAAACCATAGCAGGTGGATGTAATTTTAGCATTTCTAGAAAAGCACTCGGAGGGGGTCACCGCCTGCGAAGTTTAAGGGTAAAATCTAATTGATTCTGAGTGAGGTTGTTAAACAACAAACTAGCTAATACAAAAAATAAGATTGTGATGGTAATAAAAGTGTGAAAAAGTGAGATAAGTTATAAATAGTAAGAACTAACGTTACTCCTTGTAATAACAGGATAGGCAAATAAGTTTTACTGACGTCTAGATGCAGTCTCTTTCTAATTGAGAATGGCATTTTGCAGATTTCTTCAATCTCATGTATAGGTGCAAAAGGTGTGTGTGTGTGTGACAGAGAGAGAGAGAACCTAGGTGTATAGCTTGGTAGACATGACCAGCATGCCTTTCATGTGAATGTTGATCCAAATTCTCTTATACAAAAACATAAGATTGCGGTGGTAATAAAGGTGTGAAAAAGTCAGACAAGTTATTAACAGTAAGAATTAATATTACTCATTGTCATAACAGGATAAGCAAGTGAGTTTTATTGATGTCTGGTTGCAGTCTCTTTCTAATTGAGAATGGCATTTTGCAGATTTCTTGTATCTCCTGTTTAGGGGAAAAACGTGTATGTGAGTGTGTGTGTGTGTGTGTGTGTGTGAGAGAGAGAGAGAGAGAGAGAGAGAGAGAGAGAGAGAGAAAACCCAGATGGTCAGCTTGGTAGACATGCCTTTTATGTGAATTTTGATCAGAGTTCTCTTATTGACAGTGATGGACAAATTTTTGCCAAGATGTTTGTTTGTTATTTAAAATATTTTAATCATCATCATAAAATGACATCATGAAATAACAACTTGGAACTAGACCTCTACAAATTATGTATTTTTTCAATTCCAGGTCACTGAATTATTAAACACACACCCACACACAAAAAAATTATAAATATATAATCATCTCCTAGACCCTTATTGGGTAAGCACATGTATATATCTGGTGTTTCAGCCCCCTCATTCCCAGCCACATGATCCATACGGTCGTCCCCCAGTGTCCTACCCCTCGGACCCCGCATACAGACCGTCAGAGCCAGCTTTCAGGCCTTCTCCACAAGAGAGGTGAGTGTCTGAGGACATGCATCTCATTACAGGGGCAGATCCAAAGATATTTTTTCTGACAGTCTTCCAACTTATCTTTGATCCATCCTCCATGAATCATTTACTGTTTTCCGACAGCAAAAAATAGTTACCTATCAANAATTGTGGGATAGGAACCATTCCCAGATCCTATCTTAGTAACTGTGGATCGATCTAATTCTGAGGGGATTCTTGCTAAATTGCAATCAACAAGCGGCTAGGGGGTAATTAATTATCGCATAACAGCTTCAGTAGGTGTGCCAGACATGTAAGCCACTTAAGCTGAAAGCAATTTAGCAAGAAACCCCTCAGAGATGGATCAATCCTGTTAGATCGATCTAGGTATGGAAACCCAGTCATAGAAACTTATCAATGTACATGGCAGGCCTTTGGCTAAAATTTCTAGGTTACTAGCCCTTTATGCAACTAGTGTTTAAAAGTGGGGTAGTGTTATTTAAATTTTAGAATGTTTATAAGCTTAGAAAGTGTCTTTTTGGAAGGGTGGGTGCCTTGGTTTGTGCCTAACAGTGCACACTGTATGCATGTACTACTGTAAATCATTGCAAGCAAAATACTCCCATGTAGACTGCCTTTATCCATTATCAGGAAATAATTTTTGTGACACAGTTCATAGGTAAAAATATTGTGAATTTTTCATAAATATATTTAGCAATCATTATTCATTGTTATTTATTTAATCTTGTTTGTTGAAACATATTGTTTTATCATTATTTTGAAGAGATGTGCTCTTATCTGCACTCACGACGTCAGTTCAGTTTTCCTCATCAATATCTGTTTCTGTTAATCTAATCTAGAAAGTGATGTTAATAACATTACATTTTTTCAATCTGCACATCTTACCAGTTCCTTACAGTTGTCATTAACAGCCTCTTGAAAACTGGTCACTGAGTGTGTAAGTAAAGTTGCCATGACAACTATATGGAATGATGCATTAAAAGGGATGTTCATGAAATTCCTGTCAAAGTTCACCATGATGTCAGTTCAATTTATTAATGTTTATTAATGCAGTAAAATATAATATTGCGTTTTGTCTTTAATTTCATTCCCATGCACAAAATGTTTGCCAAAAAAAAAAAAAAAAAAAAAAAAAAAAAAAAAAAAAAAAAAAAAAAAAAAAAAAAAAAAAAAAAAAAAAAAAAAAAACTCCACACAAATATATGCTTGAGGTGAGCCAATCATCTTGCTATTGGAGTGATATGAACATTTTCATTCCACAGCTCATATGTGGCTTTTGAATAATGAAAACAGTTTATTGAGCTGTAGGCACTACATGTATTTGCCCACTCTGTACTCTGCAGTTTTTCTTTTTCAAATAGCAAAAAGTAAAAGAATATGATTCATTATGCCTTAAGACAAAAATTTTACCTCATCTGATTCCATTTTCAAACCAATATTTTCCATTGTAATTTTAGCTCCATTTCAAGCAGCCCCAGGACCTGTTCCTCCCCCTGGCCACCACCCACCCCCAGCTGGACATCCTGGTGGACCCCCCGGGCATCTGGGACCCCCTGGACACCCAGGGATGATGCCCCCTAGAATGGGACCCCCTCAGAGTAAGTGCTGTGAACCCCTTATCACAGGGTTTGTGCAGTCATATGTTAAGGAGTAAAAGTTGTACTTAATTTTATTTCCGTTTTCTCTGTGATACTTTAAAATGACTTCATTTCTCTGTAAAATGACAGTAATTTTTTCTCAAAAACTTTTTGCATTATTCCTTGGCTTGTATAATATTTTTATCAATATTGTGTGGTAAGCTGTATTGTCCACTTAAAGGTCCTTGCTTGTGGGTGTGTCCTAACATTTCCTTGGCAATTGTCTTCCTATTTTACATTTCACTTGAATTTAAGGTAGACTTGCACAGTGTTATGCTCACCACATTTTAATTCTTGTTCCAAATTTATGGAATATTTCTCTGCAAACTTTGGCTTATGATCAACCACAGGTACTAGGGGCGATACTAGGTAATGGTTTTGTGGTCAGTCTGAAACACAAAGCTGCCACATCTTGCACAGCTTTATGCATGTAATCACACTTAAGGGGAAGCACTGTCAGAATGTTTTTTTTTTCTTTCAGATGCTCCTCCACATGCTGGCCCTCCACCCCCCGGACACCCAGGGGCACCCCCTCCAGGACACCCCTATTCAGGGCACCCCCCACCAGGACAAGGGGGCCCCCCACCAGGCCATTCAGCCCCCCCAGCACCACATGTGAACCCAGCCTTTTTTCCCCCAGGACAGGCACCGCCCCACTCACAGGGAGGACCTGCGGTAAGGAAAGACTGTGTGTGTCTGTGTGTGTGTGCGTGTGCACGCGCGCGTGCGTAAAAGAGAAATTGTGTGTGGTTAACATTCAGTTTAGAATTTTTCTGTACATATGAAAATATAGTATTATTGTGTGATTACAAGAACTCTGTTGTTCATGAGACGGATATTATTTAGAATTTTTCTGTACATATGAAAATATAGTATTATTGTGTGATTACAAGAACTCTGTTGTTCATGAGACGGATATTAATTATGGTAATGACTCAGATCTTTTCAATTGGGGGGGGGAGGGGGGGGGGATGATGTATCTGAAAGATTAATAATTTTCCCCCATTGAAAAGATCAAGTCATTACTGTGCCTGGAGATCTCTACATACACATGAAGCTTATTCTCTGTTCCCTGCATAACATGACAAACAGCTCTCTCACAGGTTATTGTGACATCCTACAGCATGCCTTTGTTATAACAACTGTAACAATATAAATTAGGAATTTCAGAATTCTATGTTATTGTGATTATTTTGTTGCTGTAAATCTGTTGTAAAAGCTGTTCAGGGTTGCTAAGCAAAGTGACAAAAATTTAATTATGATCCTAATAAGTGTGCAGGTATTGTATAATGAAAATAGAAATTGATAGTTTTAAAACTTAATGCTGTGCCCTGAAACACCTAATGGTGAAGCAATCTAGGAAGTACTGAATGCTTTTTTATTTTTTACTTGGTTTGAGAGCTTATATTACCCAAAGGAATTATTTGGTAAAAAACTTATACGATGGCAATATCAAAAGTAAAGGTTGGGACATCAAGTTGCTTCCTGAACTTAAACTGAACTCAGACTTTCCTAAAAGTTTATTTCACACTCAGTAAGTGCTGTGAAGAAAAACATCTCTATGTTTGCTGTTGTTGTTATAGAAACCATAGCAGGTGGATGTAATTTTAGCATTTCTAGAAAAGCACTCGGAGGGGGTCACCGCCTGCGAAGTTTAAGGGTAAAATCTAATTGATTCTGAGTGAAGTTGTTAAACAACAAACTAGCTAATACAAAAAATAAGGTTGTGATGGTAATAAAAGTGTGAAAAAGTCAGACAAGTTATAAATAGTAAGAACTAACGTTACTCCTTGTAATAACAGGATAGGCAAATGAGTTTTACTGACGTCTAGATGCAGTCTCTTTCTAATTGAGAATGGCATTTTGCAGATTTCTTCAATCTCATGTATAGGTGCAAAAAGTGTGTGTGTGTGTGACAGAGAGAGAGAGAACCTAGGTGTATAGCTTGGTAGACATGACCATCATGCCTTTCATGTGAATGTTGATCCAAATTCTCTTATACAAAAACATAAGATTGCGGTGCTAATAAAGGTGTGAAAAAGTCAGACAAGTTATTAACAGTAAGAATTAATATTACTCATTGTCATAACAGGATAAGCAAGTGAGTTTTATTGATGTCTGGTTGCAGTCTCTTTCTAATTGAGAATGGCATTTTGCAGATTTCTTCTATCTCCTGTTTAGGGGAAAAACGTGTATGTGAGTGTGTGTGTGTGTGTGTGTGTGTGTGTGTGTGTGTGTGTGTGTGAGAGAGAGAGAGAGAGAGAGAGAGAGAGAGAGAGAGAGAGAGAGAGAGAGAGAGAGAAAACCCAGATGGTCAGCTTGGTAGACGTGCCTTTTATGTGAATGTTGATCAGAGTCCTCTTATTGACAGTGATGGACACATTTTTGCCAAGATGTTTGCTTGTTATTTAAAATATTTTAATCATCATCATCATAAAATGACATCATGAAATAACAACTTGGAACTAGACCTCTACAAATTATGTATTTTTTCAATTCCAGGTAATTGAATTATTAAACACACACCCGCACACAAAAAATTATAAATAAATAAATATATAATCATCTCCTAGGCCCTTATTGGGTAAGCATATATATATGTATGTATGTATGTATGTATGTATGTATGTATGACATAATTGTATATCTGGTGTTTCAGCCCCCTCATTCCCAGCCACATGATCCATATGGTCGTCCCCCAGTGTCCTATCCCTCAGACCCCGCATACAGACCGTCAGAGCCAGCTTTCAGGCCTTCTCCACAAGAGAGGTAAGTGTCTGAGGACATGCATCTCATTACAGGGGCAGATCCAGAGATATTTTTTCTGACAGTCTTCCAACTTATCTTTGATCCATCCTCCATGAATCTTTTACTGTTTTCGGACAGCAAAAAATAGTTACCTATCAATGTAAACTTTAAAAATCTGACCGTCTTCTGGAAGACCCAGAAGACAGCCTCAATCTGCCCCTGCATTATGAATATGCTTGAGTATTTAATTTCCTTTATTTGTAAAGATGTCACTTGCTATACTGAAGGGTATTTAGTATCGCTAGTTCATTGAATATAAAACTTGTTTATTTTATCCGTCTTCAATTGTAAAGATGCTCTGTGTGATATCAGTGAGAATGTTATAATTTTTTCATCAGCATTTGATTGTCAAAGGGCCACTCCATGGGATTTTCCCACCAAAATGATTTTTAAAAGTTGTCTCCACATGTTGAAAATCCCCCACGTGTCCTGGAAAACTTTACATTTCCCAATTCAGACCTTTAAGACAATAAAACCCCTTTTAAAATAAAGTTTACCTGAAGTGCACCTTGTGTAGTTATTATTTTCTAAGCTTCCTTGGGAAGCCATAACCAGCTTGCAAGGTCTATATTATACATGCCACAAGGATGAGATAAAACACCCAGTCATTTACTTGTCTGAAAAAAGAAGCAGGGATGGGTCAAGCAATAATTTGTGAGTGGGAGAAAACTGCTTTTTTCCCAGGAATATTCATTTTGGCTGGAAAATCCCACGGAGTGGCCCTTTAATACATTGATAATAGATATAGGTGAATTTTGATTTGATTTTTTGCTGTAGGACATCAATTACATGTTTCTTATTTACATATAAATAAAGTTACCTCACTTCCATTGCCTTAAAAAAAACTATTTCAGACCCCCAGCAAGTCAGAGACATGAGCCCCCGGCACCTCAGCTTAATGAGCAGGAGTTTGAAGAAATTCTCGCCCGTAACAAGACAGTTTCAAGCAGTGCCATTTCCAGAGCAGTGCAAGATGCTAGTGCAGGCAAGTTACCTTACTAACTTCACACTGTCAATTGCACGGAGATTAAAAGTTTAGGTTCACAGTTCACGTACACTGAGCAAGAAACTTAATGCCCCACACAATACTTTAAAAAGGAAAAGGTTATCAGTGAATTTTGATGTTTAATATGACCCAAAAAGAATTTTGTTGTTCATTGTGACCCAGATTACTGTACGATTATTAGGCAACATCAGCTTATTTACATGTAACATGAAAATTGGGGTGTTTATATTTTTGCTCATTGTATTTTGTGGCATGCAGCAACTCCCTCCTATTTTTAATTGCCAGAATAGTACTTGATGTCATTCACTGTTTTTTTTATTCTGCAGGAGAGTATGCAAGTGCTATAGAAACCTTGGTGACTGCCATTTCCCTGATCAAACAGTCGAAGATTGCTAACGATGACAGGTGCAAAATACTGATCAGTTCACTTCAGGATACGCTGCATGGTATTGAGGCCAAGTCCTACGGTTCCAAGTAAGTTGAATTGCGTTATCCATATTCCTAATTCTGTTGATTAGCATTTCAAATCCCAAGTAGAAGAACATGTTTAATCGACCCCAGCAGGGTATGATTACTGCATATTTTTGTTTTTGAGGAAAATTTGAGAGACTTCATGAAACCTATTCTCTTCATGTAATAACGAAGTAAAACTTTTAAGTCACAGTAATCCTGATTTTAAAAATGTGTGCAGTAAAAACGGAAAGAGGAATTACTTGTGTCAAGAAGCATATTAAATTAAACATTTTTAGTGAAGGTGGTAATGAGGCTGCCTCATGTTTCACCCCATTGGTTTCCTGTTGCTGCCCTCTGAAGTTCCAAATAATTGTACTGACGGAATAGTTGTACCGCCTGGAAAATTCTCGTCAAAATTGACAATTGCACCAGCTTTATGTATACAAATATTCATATTACATGAAAGCTGACTCTTCCTTCTGTCTCTCCCAAAATATTTATCTTCCAACTAATACTTTATTATTTTCTAACTGGTACTTAAAAGTGCCTAATAAATGTACTTGGAAAATTGATGAACATAAGGGCTGAAAAGGGACATACTTCTTGGAAAAAGTCTTGAAAAAAAAAGATTATTTGGAACTTCTGAGAAATCAATTTGTGTTGTTCTGTTTGTCTATTAAAATATCATATTTAGTTTTGCACAATGAATATTTTTAAACTGCTAGACTATTTTATTATTTCCCTCTAGTTAGGACAAACTGGTTAGAGGAGCTTTTAATAATTTTAGTTTTGAAAATAAAGAGTTTTAAATTATGTTACAGGGAACGCAGCAGCACATCTAAGGAGCGCAGGTCAAGATCTAGATCACGAGATCGCGACAGAGACCGCGATAAGCGCAGTCGCCATAGAAGCAGAGAGAGAGAATACAGGGAGAGGAGCCGAGATCGCAGTACCAGTCACTACGATGAGCGGCACCGTGAGAGAGAGCCAGATAGAGAGAGGGACAGGGAATATCGCAGAAGTTCTCGTCACTGAGTGGAAAGAGAGGTAAGAAAGTGAAACATTGTTTTAAGATCTTTTAAAAATGGGATGCAATTTAAATATTTAAATTAATCTCCATAGATGAGATTAAAAAATTGTTTATAAATGGGATGCAATTTAAATATTTGATTAGATCCCCAAAGATAAGATGGGTAAGTACAATTGTTACATACATTTGAGCAGTATTTCTTATTTCCTATTGTTTTAAAAGTGACTATGGATAACAGGTAAATGTTCTTGGTGTTGCTAAACTATGAGAGTGAAATTGTTCAGTGCACAGAATTGTCACATTTCAGTTTTTACTTTTTATATCAAACCCTCACAAACATGCATAACATTGTGATATTCATAGTTCCAGGATTGAAAAAGAACTCTTTTGTTAAGCACAGCCTTTTTAACCCAACTGATTAAGATTTATTTCAGGACTATTAATGGGATTGATGCTTGAGATTTTAGTTTGCCACCAAGCAGTTTTATCAAAGATTTGAAAAGTGGCAGTTTCATTTGGTGAATTTCATTTTTGTCTTAATGAGCAAGTTCATGGAGTCCTCACCCAGTAAGGGGAATGGGGGAGGAATTTTTTGGGGGAGGGGGGTCATATATAAACAGTTTTTTCATCATACACCCAATATTGTTTTTATAGTATGAGAATAATGAAATGGTTTTTAGTCTCATATATGTGATTTGGCCTTTGGCAACAAAATATATCATTTATATTTTAATAAACATGCACCTTGTTTATGTACATTTTTTCACAGCTTTATTGCTTTTGAACATTAATCTTCTCTCAGATGTGCTTAGTTTGTTTTATCATTGTTATCCAAGTCTTGTCCAAAACTTTTATCATCAAAATATCTCCGCAAAAGATGTTTGTGTGTTCTTGAACCAGAGGCTGCAAGTTCAAGTGTTTTTGTTCCAGTCCACGCCATATATTTTCCTCCCAAAATGCCCCTATCCCCACCCTGGGACCCCTACCCTATTCAATATATTAATGTTTAAATGAAAATAACAAGTTGCACAAAGTGCCAAAATGGAAAGGTTGGAATTTGATTTACATACAAAGTCAATTTTTGTCTTATGGCTAAAAACGAAAACCAGAAATGTATTCACAGGGAAGTTATCTGTAGCAGTCTGATAAAAAAAAAATTTAAGACAAAATTATCCCTTATTTTTTTCGATATGAAAATTTGATGTACCAGTACGTTAATACATATATATGTCAGATTTATAGTTATGTATCATAATAATGTCTTATATGTCATCAATTATTTATTTAATTACTTCTAATCTATTATATACATTTGTGTAAGAGTTAACACATAGATGGTGGTCAGTGCCCCTGTCAGTATTTTATATATAATATACTTGGGTTTCAGTATGGATATGATCAGTGCATGTTATATTGATGCAGTGATTGTTGTTCCTGGCTATTATCTGTGTTGTTTTGACACATTAAATCAAACCAAGTTTAGAAAACAATGACTAGATTAATTTTACATTCAAAATTAAATTGATACAAAATTTTGTTTGTTTCAATTTTTTCTGTACCTGGGTGAAAAATGGTGGTCACCTTTTAATGTTGCTTAACTTGTGTATTTTCTCTTTCTTATAGGCCTGTCATACATGTCATATTCCCTGCAGTCAATGTATATAATATCTACGTGTAGCCAAGAGAGCACCTGCTTATATTTCATTATTAGAAAGAATTATTAAGAGTTTTATATAGAGAGAAAATGAGCTAGACTCTGTTGTAACAATTTTTAAGGATGACCATGTAGTGTGCTGTATCTGTGAAAAAAAGAAAAAAACTATTATTCTGTAAATGATCAAAGGTTTGGAAATTTACGAAGACTGGAGGAAAAGGAAAAGACAGAAAGAATGAAGATAAACATTGGAAAAGAAGAGGATTATGGACCAAGGAAGCAAGGAAAGATTGGGATTTTAGATCACTAAATATTTCTTTTAATTATTCAATTTTTGTGAAAGAATTGACATAGTAAATAGATGTTAGTAAAACTGTGTTCTTGTTTCTTTAAAAAAAAATGATGATTATAATTGACTTGTGTTGTCCTTGTTGCCGATTTTGAGATTTTAAAAATCTTTTACTATTGATTTGGGAGAAAATATCAAAAGCTATGAACTGGAAGTGGCCGGACTTCTGCTACAGTTATGAGTAATTGTGAACAGTTTCCAGTCCCATTACTAACAAATATGAAAGGATGAAACTGGGTTGAATATTGATTCTGTAATTACTGGTGTCTTGTAAATCATGTGTTGAGAATGGGCACCAATTAAAATCTAAAAAACTGGTTATGATATTAACCTAAAAGTATTTGGTGTATATGAAACCTTTTCAAAACATGACGTATGAAAATAATTTGAACAATGTCTAATGAGCTGGGGATAGTGCGTTTAATATTCAGCGTAGAAGCGAAAAGAGAAATAACTGTACTTCTGCCATGATACAAGTATCACGTCATAACAGTTAGTCTTTAGCAACCCCCGACTGCATGCATTATTCAATTGCAAGCACTTACTGCACTTATTTGTACATATATGATGTTTGTTCACTATGTATGTGAAATGTATGTCTTTGATAAATATGTGTTGAACAGGTTTGATGGTAAAGATGAAGGTAACTATCCAGATTTTTTTTATCCTCGTCTTCTTGGCTAAATGTGTCCCTCTTAAACCAGTTACTGTAACAATTTGAAACCAGCTGTTTTAGGCAGATCCAAAAAACCAACACTATAGGTTTTTCTTAGGTTCATGAGATTTCAGTAAAAAAGGTTAAGAATGGTAAACCTATGTTTCAAGAATTGCAAAAGATAAAGCTTACTTTATGGGTCTTTACAATAGTGTTGAGGTAATGTAACTATATTGATTTTAAAAAGGGAGATAGAATGTTTTCATTTTTTCTCTGAAGTGTATGACTTTGCAGCATTGATGTAACTTTTTGTGATTACAGAGTTGTATAGGGAGTGTTTTCTACAGTCTAATATGATTCTCTTCCTTGAAAAGTAAAAGGCTTCTTTTGACTTCGGAAGAGTGCTTTACCTTTATTCACGATTTTTATTTGACCTATTTGTCATGGATTCCTGAAGAAGTAGGGATTAACAGTAAGTTGTTATTCTAAGAGTTAATACTATTTTATAATGTGGAATAAATCCCAGTTTGGGCAATTAATGATGCACAAAATTGAAAAATGTTTCTATTAAAAATGGATGCAATTAAGAAACGACAGTTCCCACACAGTTGAATGAAAGTGATACATAGTTTTATCTATCAAGTTTATTATTTTAGGCAGACATTAGAAACATGTGCTTTGTATCCCATTAAATTGATTTCCAAATGTGATATATGGACCAAAGGTTTTTAATTGATAAAAAGACAATCTCTAAATAATAACTTGCAAGTTGAATTTGATATGTTACATTCTTCCATAGAAAATGCATGTTGGTTATCTCAGTAAGATACGGTTTTAAAAAGTGAGGAACATAATAGTCTGTATTCAAATCCTTGAGGAGTATTTCTCTGAAAATGGGATTTTGGTAGCTGTGTAATGTTGCTTGACTAGAGAAAGGATTATGTTTGAACAGTAATTCATGTAGCCTTTGATCTCTTTTCCTAGCATTTTCATAGAATTCATTTGTGTACACTGGGGTTAGCTATCTTGGAATTTATAATATCTAAAAGTGCTTTACAGAACAATTTTCTTGATTTTTAACGTTTGCCTTTATCCTTCAGTTCTGTTTAGAAAATGATTCATTTTTATTTGCCTTAACTACTTATCTAATCATTTTCTTTTATTGATTTTTTTTAGCTATTGGGAAGTATTGGGGGTAGTTTTGTTCTATAAGATGAGATTTCAGTTAGTAATTTTAAGCATAAGTTTTGCTCAAAAATTTATCATAATAAATATGGTCTTTTTTACATAGGTAGATAGGATTGCACAGTGTTTATTTTTATATCAGATATTTTATATTTTTTCTAAAAAATGTTTTATTAAGTGAAATTTTACCATATATTTTTTTTTATTTTTAGATATGAAGTGAGTATCTATTTCAAAGCATGTCTTTCTGTTTAAGTTGTGTTCACAACATATCTGCTAGTTGTGATTATGGTAATATTTTGTGCGGCATTTTCTTCATCACCTTTTAAAAAAATGAAAATGACAATTGCCTCAAATACAGTACAGTTATGATTTTTCATTGCTGTGGTACATGTTATGAATAATCTTTTCAGCAATTTTCTCCCAGGTTGCTTTGGTTAGGGACGACAACCCGTATTTTATTAACTTGTACTTGTTTGTTTATTTATTTGTGGCATTTAAGGTAGATCGTAAAGCCATTCTTTTAGTGTGCAATTCATATGCATGATACATTACATGAGAACGATTTGAAGTGAATAAGATTTATTGGTATGAAAGAAAATTTGAGATTCCTCCTACAAGAGTTCTTAATAATTTGTTTAATTTATCATTATGCAATATTGAAATTAGTATCCTAAAGTTATCACAATCCCACAATACTTAACACCTGATTATTTTTACCAGTATGTCTTTCATCTACATAATTGAGACAGAACTTACAAATAGTGCATGAAATATTGTTTATTGTGTAAATGTGTAGCAAATGCAACTGTTATAGAACATTTTCAATCTTTTGTTCTGTTAACAGAATCAAGTATATTTATCATCGATAGTTTCATAAATTATGATTGTTTTTTGATGGAGTTTCCCCTAGCATTTAATTGTGCTAGTGAAAATCATAATCTTTGTGACAATATAGTAAACAATGGCTATAAAGTAGACAAAATCAGTCAGTATACATTGTATAGCATCTTGGTTGCCCTTGGTTGTTATAAAATTTGGGAAGATCTGTAAATTTTCTTGGGGAACTTCCATCAGTAGGCATTTAACATCACTGGTACAGAGTGACCCACCCTTAAAATTTGCTGTGCTTTATTTTCATCATTATAGTTCGTTCATAAAAGCACTTGTATTTCATCATTGTTTAAGAGACATGGGGAAATCTATGGAGATACTGAAGGCCCAGAGGACCTGCACTACAAAAAATCTTCAGGAACTAAGAGTTATTTCTGTTAGTCTATGTTTACATGTGATTTATTATGATGTGTTGTATTTTCACATAAATCTCGCAGGTCCTCTGACATTTCAAGTGATCCTGTCCTGCCACATATATGCAGTTTCCCCATGTCTGTAGTGTGTATGTATTGGTAACTTGGCTATATCTTTATATATTGTATATTCCTCTTCATGACTTCTGCCCCTTTGGGTAGGGTATGTCCTTGTGCCACAAACTTCTGACTGGAACTATATTTGGAACACAAGTAACTGGTGTGGCTATTGTAGCCTTCAACTTGTGAATGGGTTACCTTATAAGTTATATATGAAGCAAGAGTGGATGATGCATATGGACCACTTGAAACTGAAACTTCATCAAATTTCTGGTCATAAACTTGACCTGTTTATACTTCTCTCCAGTTTGTTTGTCTGTCAGTGACATAGGGTGCATTCCCATAGATTTTAGATCGATCTATCCCCGTGGGGAGTCTCACTAAATTACTGTCATATAATCCGGCTTAAATGTCCGTCCTGCCTACTACAAGCTGTAAGAGGGTAATTAACTTTTGTGCTCGCTCGGCTGACAGCTATTTAGCGTGAACCCCCAGGGAGTTAGGTCAATCTAGTCGGATCGATCTAATCTCTGGAAATGGGGTCATAGTAATGTATGATGCATTAATGCTGTGCAATAAGACTGGATTCCCATGCCTAGATCAATTCATTTGGATCGCTCTAACTCCCTTGGGAGTCTCACTAAATTGCTATCAGCTTAACCAGCTTAAATGTCTGTCATACCTACCGAATCAGCTAGGGCGTAAAGATAATTACCCCCTAACAGCTTTACTAGGTGTGACAGACATTAACTTGGTTAAGTTTATAGCAATTTAGTGAGACTCCCCAGGGAGATAGATCGATCCAAATATCTGTCGGAATGGTCCCTAAGGCTTGACCCAAACAATTGAGGGGTTCTGTTCATGTAATATAGTACATAAAGCAGATAATATATGTTCAAATGTCATTTTTTGGGAAATATTTGACAATGCTCTGGTATTTCTTTAAATTATGCCATTTGAAACTATATGATGGTATTTGGTTTGGTTCAGTGGCAAAAGTTTGACTTCATATGTAACTTTAAACCAACTTTTTAAGGTCACAAGTTTGTAGTCACCTAGTGGGTACATATCAGTCCCTCCTTGTGTATTTAATGTGAACTTTGATCATAGATTTAAACATTTTGCACAAAAAGTAGATTATTACTGAATTCAGTGACATGGGGGGTACCTCTCAGTATATTTAAAGGCCATCCAAGGTGTGGCTGTGTAAAAAGTAATAGGATTGCTGTCACAAAGAACTTTTTATTATGTAAATCACCCCAGATAGCCCAGAAAATATGCAAGAATTCGCATGAGGTGGTGCTAATGTTTTTAGCAATAGAAGTGAAAACCCCTGCACCTGAAATGTTGTCTTTAAATGCAAAAGTAACATGTAAAACATGGTAAATGTGGAATGTTGTGCCAAAGGCGTGTTCTACAGAAAATAATTTTTAAAAAACATACCAGCAAATAATACTCTCAGCTTTTATGTAAGAACAACACTCTTCTTACACCATTCTCTTATAAGTGCCCAGAAATCTCCCTTGATTTTATGCTAAGTTACCTCGGACTATTTAGGCTGATACTCATTTCAAACAACAAACCACATGGCTTCTCCTTCAGTGTTATCCCCTTTGAATCTAATGGACGCTGAAAGGATTCTGATGCCAAGTTCCTCATCCCCTTCATCCTCTCACTATTGGAGGCCTCCCCCTCCCCCAGGGCCCACAAAACTGTCCCCCTTTGATATCCCTTATAGACTGGAGAATGTCATTTCAGCAGAACAAAAATGATATGCTAAACATTGTGAATATGCACTGTTGGGCAGTAGACTGTAATTCAGCAGAGAAAGCGAGTAGAAGAATGTATTTGGATGAAATTCTCTAATTCGTTGGCACAGCCAATTTTTTTTCTGACAACATTCTCCAAATTCTGCGAAATCTCTCTCAATTTTATGATGAGTTGCAAGACTGGACTGTCTGAGATGATTTCCATTGTAATAAATTGTGACAGCAGTCCCATTTCTCTTCAGATGCACCTCACTTATTAGGCTCTTGTTCCACGTTATAAAGGTTGATAGATGCTACTAGGAGAGGCCATATTGTGTATTTAACTGCCATTGACAGCGTAACAAGTTGGTTGATAATGCCTTTGATAAATGAACTGTTGTAATGTTATAATGGGGTTCACAGCAGGAAGGGGTTTGGCACCTGAGCTATTCTAAGCATTTAGTCAAATTTTGGGTTTTGACTGTTTCTGTTGATTGATTTACTTCAAGGCATTGAGTATATACCAGTCTACTACATATGTTATTATGAAACTTACATTATATATCATGAAACTTAGGTAATAGTTGCCCGCGATTCAAAGTTACGGAAACGCTTTTATTTAATGTGTGTGAACAAGTGAAATGTGTGACGCAAGTCTTGTCCTTACGACAGCAGTTTTATACGAGGGGTGTGAGACTGCTACTTCTGGTGGATTTTTTTCTTTTTATGTTTGGGTGTTTTAAAAAGTTTGCTGGGATTTGTAGGAATTGAGAAAAAATGTGAGATTTGAGGGGGTAAGCTTATATTTATTGCTTTTAATAATACAAACATCCCACCCCAAGATACTCCAGATGAAATGTTACTATGACAATGTGTATATGGTACAGAAGTGCACAGTGTGAGGTACGGGATCTAGTGATAAGTGATTTTGATAGTGACCCTTATCATAAATTAATTGTTGCTGTACATATTGATGACTTAGTAGGTAAAATACCAACCAATACATGCTTGGAGATATGATCTCATAGTTCCAGGTGATTGATATTGAAAATATTTCATCATAATTTTTTTACCGATTTGTTTGTTATGGAATGACAAGCAGAAGTGAGACAAATAGGTAAGTAAATGAGAAATGGTAAGTAAATATATTGATAAAATAACTTGCTTATAGAGACAAAACAGCATTCTCTTTATTAACTGAAAACACTCCTGTGTAAGAAAGAAATGTGTAAAGCTATGGCTAACGCAGGTGGGCTTGATCTGAGACGTGATTATCGTAGGATTAGCCCATTGTTTAATGAAGTTGGATTAAAGGATAAAACTTTGGCAAACTGCCAGATTCACAAATGCTGTTAAGAGGGTTATGTGTAAATTCCGAACAAGATCTTTTCTTGTGTTGTATATTTTAGTTCCATTCCCATAGACACCAGTGGTTTCTGTAGAATGATCCAACTCTGCGTAGACTCTCACTAAGTGCAGTCAGCTGAACTGAATGGCACACCTCCTTTTGTATCCAACTTACTCAAAGAATCACCAGCTTTCTGTATTCTACTCACCACCAGGGGGAAGCGTGTCACCCAGTTAAGTTGATTGCACTCAGCGAGAGTCCCTGCAGAATTGGATCAATCTACTTAGACCATTGGTGTCTATGGGAATGGAGCCTAAAATGAATCAAATTATTTAATGAGTGACTTGAAGCCATGAAAGTCTTTCACTTACTAAAACTTTGGTTAGTTAAATTTAATGCTCAGTGTTAAACTAGTATAGTTTCATCTCACAAGTACAGCTATTTTGATTTAAATAAAGTGATTACTTCCATGTTTTAATAGTTTTGTAAAGGTGCTTCAGGTGTACAACAGTTGGTTTTGAGTCATCTTTACTGTGTTAAACTTCACCAGTAATGAGGAAGTTGCTGGAAGTGTCATGATAGATTGTATAAAGTTTGATGAAAGTTGTGTGACCCTAGAAAACCGATCTTCAGATACATATTGTTCGCCTTTGTATCTTGTGATGAAATATTGTTAAATATTTCGGTAGAACGACGAGTAATATGCTTTTTTTATATGTCTTGTTTGATTATAGTTACATACTAAGGCTGGTCGATATATTACTGATGCAAGTTAAGTGGTGAAAAGGTGATAGTGACAATATTCTGATTAGTTTACGCCTCAAATGGCAATAAACACCTTGTTGGTGGCACTGTCAGGTATATGGTAAGAGGGAAGAAATCAATAGCATTTTGCCTCATTGCCTTTATTTCATTGTGTGTCAATTTCTCCAAACTAGTATCTAAAGCTCCCATCTTGTTTCATACCAGAATCAATTAATTGAATAAATTGACAAACGCAATATATGGGTTTATTGATATCAGGCTATTTTTAGGTCGCTTTTATTTATTCCAAACCCAAATGAGATTTATTACAATTTTACAGTAATTAATCATTAAATCAAACCAGCAATGATTGATTAGAATACTGAAATATAGCGTGACCAAAATATTTTGGTAATGGGTAACACGTAAAAGAATTTTGGAGTTACAGAATAGCTCTTAGCGTAAATGCAATCAGCATGGCATAGTTGATAACTTAGAAAATAAGTAGCGTCTTATAGAACGAACCACCTTGGAAGTGCCTGGATTCTCCGGAGGATACCTTGGGAGGCCATTTCTGCCTTCCTTCCTAGGAAAGGCTTGGGTAAAGTCTGACACCTGCCTCTTCCCGGCACCTCTCGTACAGGTTTAGGAGGAAAGTGTACCTTGAATGGCTTGTCCTGACTGCCACTTGGGGTTTGCTTCCGTATGCTGATCATCAGCCCCATTCAGAAAAGGGGACTAACTAATCCAAGGGTCAAATATGGCGACCCACTGAGAAGCTTGCCGTCTAACCTGCTAATAGATACTGAATAGATATCCCGTGAGAAAGTATACAAGTGGGTTGGCCATATTTGACCCTTGGACTAGTTAGTTCCCTATTCTGAATGGGGTAATTGTTCATGAATTTTATAGGCATTTGATGGATTATTTATGAAGCCATTTGGTTAATTTTAGAAATGACAAAAAGTCTTGTCGCCCACTTAAAATAACTTTTTTAAACACGATTTTATTTTACTTGCAAAATGTATTTGGATGAGGGTGTCGGAAGTACCCTAAGACGCAGTCACGTCACAAAAGTTACACCTCCAACAGCTATCTGGCCATGTTTGAGGGGAGATCACTTCTTGGTTACTCAGGGATGATTGGCGCTATGGGTTACTGGAAAACCCGACTTGCTATTGTGGCGTTACGGGACAATGGGATCATCTTCCTTCATTTATGACATATTTTGTATACTTAAATCATAAACTTAATACAGGTGCTGATTAAGCCAGAATATATTTGAAAGCTATTCAGTATGGAATAAATTGGAAGTGTTGAGTGCGAAAAGAATCTGCAGCAGTCAATTGGAATTGAGCGCGGTGTAATATAAGAAAAAAAGATAATAAAGATATAAAAGATAAAGTAGAAGATATAGCAAGGCATTTGGAATGTTCATGGCATGATTTCATTATTTCATCTTCATTATTTTATTTTGAGACCAGTTTACAGATGAAAAGACATCTCTTGGTCATTAAATCGTAAAATACATTTTAGATAAGTCAAACAAAAAACGAGATGGATTTGAATATATAACAATGCTATTTTCATGAAATCGTCTTGTTTTGAATTCAGAACCTACACCAGTGAAAACTGGGCACGCGTGACATGTCTCGACTTTCTTAGTGTAAATAAAGATGTGGAAATCTATTTATTATTGAATTGTTTTGCTTGCTTGCACCCCTATACCAGTTTTTAAGTCCACTTTTGGAAGCCGATATCCCAGGATTGGTTGGCTGAGGCTGCGTTCACAACCAGTTGCTCTGCAGACTTATCCGCGGATCAAATATGGCGAGCACTTCACAATGGTTTTCTGCCACCCACGCGTGCCGTCCCAGCAGGGGCAGAGCAATTGAATCTTGGCACGCTTTCAAGTCGGTCGCACCCTATTTGATCCGCAGACTAGTTCACATATTAACTGTCTGTGAACACGGCCTAAGTAGTTCATATGAGTGTCCTGTCGATGGCCCACCCTGTCACGTCACCGAGTTCTGTGCCCCGTAACTCGAAAGAATCACTCACTGCGACCGAGTGCAAGCGTCTCGATTCCATAACTCGCTCATACTCACCCCATATAATATATTGCAGCCTCTTTGTGATATCGCTATTCACCGTACGCGATGCTTTCGAGTTACGGGGCCCTGGACGACCTCGGAGAAAAACGAAGCGACAAATTGCATTTTTTCTTCTTTTTTTTTGGGGGGGGGGGGGGGGGGGGAGACTTATTAACTAATTCGGCAAGTTATTACCCACAGACGTATTTATTGATTATTACAACTAAAGCATTTTACGGAGCATGGACATAATAATAATAATAATAACAACAATATATAACCCGAAGGCATTGCCACACAGCACTATCGGGTTGCTACGCATGACATTTGGCCGTGCCATAGCACAGAATTATGAACACTTCTTTAAGAACAAGAAAAAACGTATCTAAAATCGTTTACCCGGAGTTGATTAGCAACGTTTTCACTTATTGGAGTGATTGGCATTTTACTTGTGCCCTTAAAAATTGCGAGTTTAGAACTGAAACGCTTTTATTTTTCCCAACTTTTTTGTGAACAGGGTAACGTATAAATGTGACTGAAAATTGATGGAAGTTTACTTTTTCCCTGTATTAAGGGTTAACACTCCTTGTAATCCTTGAATGGAGAACTTTTCTAAGTTAAATGCAGAGTTTGTGTGTGTCTGCGCATGGAATTTGGGATTTCCTCTGCGTTTGAGTTGGCTCGTTGAGATTAAACGTGGCGGATAAAAAGAGACCAAACGCCAGCAGTCTCCCAGACACGAGGAAAGAAATGGGGGAGGGAGGTTTTCATATTGTCTTTATGTGGGGAAAAAGTCCTTATGGAAAATAACTGAAGCCAACATTATCTGACTTGAAAGGCTACTTTCCAACAGGCATATGACGTACGTGTGTTTGGACTACTGACGAATGAAAAGTGCTGTAATCCCCCGATATTTGACTGGGGGTGAATGACTCTTGACAAGATTAAATGCTTGCCTGCAGATGTGTGACAAATAGTTGTGCAAAACTTTATTTTACATAAAAGTATATTTACGCACGCGCGCTCGCACACACACGCACACAGTTTATGTTATGTTACCCCCTTTAGCTGTGATTTGATCCTTGTGGCCATTACAACGGTTAAGTAGAATGTCAAGAGGTTAAACAGTTTGCAAAGCAGCAAATTAGACGTCTTGCCCCGTGCCCCGCGGAAAGTGATTGCGCAGGCGAAGGGCCTCCAACAGCCCCGACTGGTTAACTACTAGACTGGGGCAATAGGGAGTGGTTGATGTTATAACGCACAGTTCAACGCATTCTGTTACAGGATCAATATTTAGTTTTTAAATAAGGACAGAAAATGTTTTCTGATAAAGCCTGTTTAGTAATATATCTGTTATATTTTTAACCTTCGCCTTTAAATAATACGCAGTTCACGTTGCATGTCTTCTGCAATGTACAGTAGTCATGATGTGAAGACTAGAGAATTCTGATTGGCTTCTTGAACTGTACGTCACCGTTATATCAGTAGGGAGAGAAGTTTGAAATGTGCATAAGGTACCAAGGACTTCATTAAACGTTCATCAGCTGCGATTCAAGTTTTGAGATTGGTAATCTCATAAAATACATTCATTTGGGGACCTTGAGGGCTACCAGATACAGCGAAGGACGTGTCACTGCTAGGTGAGTTTATTAATTGCAAGCTGAGGTACTAATTGGCTTTTTTTTTAAAGTGATCAATGAGTCTATATCGGGGCATTACGAAAAAGTAAACATAAACACGTGGCACAATTGTCATTAAAAATACAGCAATATTTGTTCGGCCTACCTAGAAAATTACTTGTCATGTCCGCTCTTTNCCTTGAGGGCTACCAGATACAGCAAAGGACGTGTCACTGCTAGGTGAGTTTATTAATTGCAAGCTGAGGTACTAATTGGCTTTTTTTAAAGTGATCAATGAATCTATATCGTGGCATTATGAAAAAGTAAACATAAACACGTGGCACAATTGTCATTAAAAATACAGCAATATTTGTTCGGCCTTCCTTAAAAGTAGTCACGTTTCCAGAGTTGGTTTGTGTGGTTTATGGTATCAAAGCTGTTCGAAGCACTGCAGAATAGCATCGGCAATGGCTATGTAATTAACAGTCTTCGCGAGACGTCTTTCTTGTGGCTGCCTACTGAACATAAGTTAAGCAAAATGTTAATCTTATGTAAGAAACAGCAAAGAAGTGAGATTACTTTTTGCTAGAAGTCGACGAGGGAATATTCGGGATTCTTTGAAAGAAAAGAGCAGTATGTTCGTGGTTTTCTTTGCAGAAAAATAAAAGGCTAAATCAATTGCAGATGTTTTGAAAACAGGAAATCTACAATGAATACTTGCTTTTCCATTTGTAGATAACATATGTATGTAACATGTCTTCAGAGAACCGGCACAAGACCGTGTTCTTTTACTTGAAATCATCATTTTTGGCTGTTTTACATCCACCGCGATGGCTGTTGTAGGCAAGCTACGTATACTGTTGTGAAACAGAAAGGTTCGCATGACGCTCAGTCTCTCGTTCTGTGTAATCTGGGTAATATTTTGTCAATAATGTAAATGCATCTTAAGATTGGCATGTTTCTCGAAGATACCATATCATTTAAGGGTGCCTTTTCCGTTTGTAATTAGGCAAATAAGAAACCGAGTCATTTGCGTTACCTGAAACGGTGATATTGGTTTCTATCACCACTGTATTTATGTTTATTAAATCAAATTAAAACTTGTATGCTGTTATGATAAATAAATTTTCAAAGTATTATGTTGCTAAGGATAAATCAAAGCCTTCAATTAGGTGATATTTAAATCGTGCTAACAATTATGAACAGTTTGGACCAACGTTAAGTTTGATGACTTTTGTTTACCTAGAAACTACCAGTGAGCGTAGTGATTGACGCTCCGAGAGCGTGTAATGCCCCTTGCTCCGATATTATGATGTTCTGTCGTTAAGTTAGGTTTTCCCATGAAATAAAACGGGTAAATCTGTTCCTATTTGAGTGCTGTGAATTGACGAAAGGTTGATTTGACTCGAATTAAAATACTGCTTTATGTTGCACACTCTTGCTTTGTATATAATTTATGAAATTAAACATCGGTGGCAATGGATAATGTAATTAATTTATTTATTTTGTTACTTTGGCCAGGGAATTATATCTATTCCCTGCTTTGGCATAAATGATACAAGATGGAACGTGTTTTTGTTCCCCTCCGTCGCTGGTACTTCACTCAGGAAGCGCCCTTCGCCACTCTAAACGTTTTCTGTGTCAGGTATTTTGTCATAGAAACTCATCAGGTGCAGAGAGCCATGCTACAGGAATAATATTATACAGTTTAGAATTCAGGAATTTAAAACATGAAACGCGAAATCTCAAAAGATATGCACGACAGACGATTGGTTTTGTCGTGTTCTCGAATGCTCGTCACAGTCGCCCCCTCCCCTCTAGATTATGAGAATGATCGCGCGTTACAGGGGTTCCCGCTTTTTGCCGTTTTTGTGGCCAAAGAAAAAGACTAAGGTAATTACCGGTAGCTAGGATTTAATAAATAAAAATTATTTTGGAGAAAAGCAATCGCTTATTTTGTGCATGATCCTTCTGAAGTAAAGTTAGATATGATATCTCTTTGCAGCCCTAATTACCCACTTACAAAACTACTTGAAACACCTTTTTTCGTTTTTATGTACACGTGGACCTGTAACAAACATAAATCAGATAAAAATAAGGTTGAGTGGATATAGCATCCATGATCATGGTGGTTGGCCAAATGCCAAAAATTCGTCAATTTAAACATTTCATTTCATTTCATTATCTTTAAGTCAAAGCAATACATGCCATAAGACATAATTAAGTGTCCATCAATCCACTTCTCACCTTGGCTGGTGCACTCCTACATGTACTATGTATGATAAAGTACATCTTGCACTGTGTCTGAAAATACAAAATTAAAATTATAATTGTGCCCAGTTTAATCGTGAACATGGTTGTTCAAAAAGGGGCAAAATATACCGTAGCTGCAATTTCTTGGCCAACTAAAATATTAAGTTATTAAAGAGCGCCGTGTCCATCCGCTATAGGCCCACGTGCAACACGTGTGAACGCTGTGACATTTTCTTGTCTTCACCAGTGTTAATAACATGTATGAGTATGAACATTATAGCATATGGAGTTTAAGATTAACTACACTGAGACTGAAATGGTAAAATATACCAATGGCGAGTTATTGGCTTGAATACACATTGAAAATTAATCACCCTTTTGATGCGTTATTTTTTTTTTTAATGTCAAAGACACCCCTTTTCATTGATTGAAGTTGTCTTTAAACCATTAAGCAGTTTTGAAAGCTAATGTATGACGCTCTATTGCCATCAAACCCTTTCTCGCCTGAGCTTGCATTTTAATCTCATTAAAATTGTAGACTAAGTTTTAATCTTTTTTTTTTCAATTCGCATTCTGATGTGTCATAGTTATGAATGACAAAACGAGCTGAATTCTGAAACAAAGTAGTGTGCATGCTTTTAAACAGGAAGCCCATGAATAAAAATTTTTTTTCCCTTGCTTTCTTTAAAGACGTCTTACATATCTTAGAAAATCATGATGAATATGACTACATCCAAATAAAGAGATGACTATTTCTAAATTACAAGTTGATGGTAGCTATGCCGGAGACAACCAAGACCATTTATTGGTCCGATTTATGCGTGTGTCCGTATATAACGTTAGGTCTTTTATGTACAAGCTTTTTTTTTTTTTTTTTTTTTTTTTTTTTTTTGGGGGGGGGGGGTCTGAGTATTAAGCAAATAACTATAATAGATAAAATATTGGATATATATTGCCAGCTTATGCTGTCTATTATATTAATAGAGCATTGCAGTACATGAACCTCACAAGACGGGCTTTATTTAGCGTTGAGTGTCCTAGGGGGATATCAGGCCTGAAACCCGGTTGGCTTGCGAACCAAATCTATGATAACCCTCTATTTATTCAAGATATTCGGTCGTCAAATAAAGGGACAAGGCTAATTTGAAAAACCTCAGTCAGTTGTTCATTTTCCCCCTTTTCCGGTTGTTCCATCAATGGGATTGATTGTAATTTGGTAACTGTAGGTTCATGTGACGGTACGGAATACATTTCCCAATGTTGCCTTCCGACACCCACTGCAGCTTGGTCGTCACGATACATATGGGCCTTGCACTGTGTGAGCGCTGGCTTCTTATCGCTGGCATGCATATTGCAGAAGAAACGCATTGGTTTTCAAAGAATTATCGCATTAAATGACAAACAAATTGGAAGGTAATGGAATTGTCGGATGCAAGCCTTTGTCGATTGTTTCCATTTTTTTCATGCGTCCTCCGTGAATCATCACTCGCATGTAACAGTCAATGTGGTGTTTTCATTACACTGTTTCCATAAACATTCAGCTCGTATGATTTATGGTTGCTTACAACAGGATTTGTGAATATACATCTGGAACATGATAGTCTATCAATGAATTTAAAGCTGAAAAATACGTTCCACGTTTTAGATAATGGTAATCCAAAACCGCGCCGCTAACTAAGCAGTAGGATAAGTCGTTCACATTTCAGTTTTTATTAAAACTAAGCCGCTGTTACAAGATAAAAGTGTATCGAATAAGTTAAAAGAATGGGCGTATGATATAACAGTTAAAATTTCTCATCATTAGTTAAAATAGGGATTGGTATTTTTGTCCTTTGCTTTATGATTCTTTAGTATAAATTTATCTTTGCTTCCCCTCACCTTTAATAGTGATATGAAAAAAAGAGCAGAAAATAGAAGGCTTTATTTAACAATCTGTTTTATTCCCACATTAAATAGGTATGATACAGGTCAAAGCCCTAGTGCACATCTACCACGTTATCGTAACAGCAGCTCCAACAACCTGTGTACAAAGTTCTCTCCTGGGACCTCTTTCATGTGGTTTGGAAGTGAAGCTATGTCTCTTCTCGAAAGCTTAGGTTTTTAATGCATTTGACGATGAGTAGGGCCCTAAACGCTTCAGGTAATCTACCAGTATCAGTCTACCGCTTTCGGCCTGTAAAACCAAGTGTAGGGAAATCTGGTGGAAGTAATTAACCACACTGGCCCGAAATGGCCGTGTTATGTTTATCATTTGCGTGCAATTCAGTCAATATTTAAACCACACGTCTGGGAAACTATAACTTTTTAATCAATAGTGTTTGTTGTTGAGTCTGTATAGGTAGTCTTTCGCGTTCGTAAAGAATATGTGGAAAAGTAGCCTACATTTCTAGCATTTTCAACGTCTGTTTGGGACTGCGTCTTTATGTGAATATTATATTGAGGTACCAGTATCTTATTATTGCATTCCCAGAACTGGGACTGTGACTGTCTTTTGCTACAGTTCCTGTGAAAATAAAAAAATGGCAGTTTTCCATTTTATTTGTTTATTGCCTTGTGTGTAATTGCAGTAGGATGCTTAAAAATACCGGGTTAGTAATATATTATGTCTTGCACATGTCCTACTTCTTTATTCGCTTTTGCGTGCAATATAAATAAAACCAATTATAATCTTAAACTGACAGTCAAATAACTGGGCTTTCAGTATTATTGCATGTTATTTATATATAAGTAATTAGGAAGTTTAAAGTGTGCACACAGGGAAACAAATG